GGGTGTTATGAGTGCGAGCCAGTCACCCTCGTAAAGCTTCTCCATGGAGAGTTGGCTCAAACAGAGCTGTGCTTGCCGCTTAACGCCGCCCGGCAAGCGAGTTGCCGCTTCCTGTGACAACGACATGCACACAATCAAGATGACCCAAGGCAGAAGGCATCCCCGGCCTCCGCTTTCTGTTGAGCCGCCTGTGCTCTTGCCGCGTCAACTGCGCGCATGAAAGCACGATTCGCCAGCAGGCCGTCCGAATTGGACGGCGGCATCTGTTCGAACCTGAGGGGTGACGACTCCGGTCCATGTAGCTTTCAACAGGAATCTTTGGCCGAGGCACGAGAGGCTATTTGAGGGCATCTGCACCTGCCCGGCAGGCACGAGGCAGGAAAACGCGTGATGAGCAAACTGTCCAGCACCCCCTTGGGACACTAAACGCAAACTTTCCTTGTCGGCTCCATCCTCGCAAGACCTCTGAAGGAAAAGGCCGAAGCCTCCGAGAAGCTTTTGGGGACGAAGACGATTTCCTCGTCCTCGCAGGGGCATGGAGGTGCAATTTGAAGCTTGAGGGTGCGGCGGTTTCGCTTTGAATTTGTATTTACATTGTGGATCCTACTTAACAGATGGTTGGGGTCTACAGATGCCTCGTACGTAAGCACCTCTGCCTGAACAGCATACACCACGTAGCCCACACACACACACACACGCACAGACGCTCATCAAGAGTGGCTTGGACACCACAAACTCAACAAAGCCGTTGCCCATGCTGACTCATACTCGGACACGAAGAGAGCATTGGAATTCGGATAAGACCCGATCATTGGTCACCCGGATTTCTTCTGCGGGCCTGCATCGGAGCACTGTCAGGGACCATCCGCAGGAATGGCACGATACCATCAGAGTTTGCCCGGATCGGCCCAGGCCCAACAAACCTTAGACAATGCAGTTCCCCATATCTGATGCTGCTAACAGAGCTCGAAAAGGAGCTGCTTCATGCCAAGGAACGACGATTCGCGTGTCATGGGCACCATCTGCCAGGAGAGATCAAAGAAGGTTTCAACGGCAAGCTTTGCTACGGGGAAAACAGAGCTGGCACACGGAACAAGAACTGCAACAACGCTATCCTGTTTGAAGAAGAACTGAAGCTGACAGCAGAAAAAACGATAAGCAACAGCAGCACCAAGTACTACCACAGCCGTTGGGGCTGCGAGTGTCATCATGTTCTGTTTCCTCTGGGCTTACCAGCAGTTCATTGCACAATTCCTCTCCTTCTGTCGGCCTACTGATGAGAATAGGGAGGATCTTGTCAAAAGATGATGATGGCTCTGATTCTGGCTGCTTCTCAATCTCGGGTCGGACTGCTGTCGTGGTGCAGGTGCCGTGACAATGTCGGAGATGACCAGAATCTTACGAACACTGCTATAGCGGCTGTGCTGGCCATAACCTCGCATACGCCATGCTGGACCAGATTGCTGGTTTAATAGTAGCTGCTGCATGCTGCTGCGGCAGCAACTGCTCGTGCCAGGCTCATGCACTGTGATTAAGTCTACTACGGCCACCCTCTGTGCCACAGGGCCTCACTGTAGGCTTTCGGCATGAAGTGCATAGGTTGGTCCTTCGGCAGTTGCTGCGCTATCCGACTTGCAGGTCAGGAACCCTTTGGGGATCCGGGCCCATGATGCACCTCTCGCTTCGTATCCGAAAAGTCGATCTTCGTACCATTTGTACGCCGTATATGTGTAAACTACATACATACATATTGTGTATATATATATATACATGTTTATATTACCCGTTTGCATATATATATATATATATATATGTATTATATACACATTGGTGTTTTGTGATATATGTATATGCATCTACATAGTCTTCTTTCTCAACAAATGTGCATAAACACACACTAGCACCCTTGTATAGCGAAAACAGGGACGTTGTCGTCATTGCCTTTCCCGTAATGCCGGTTATTTGTTTGCAGCCGCGCGATTTGCACAGAATTGCTTCTGCACCATTCTGCACATCAAACTGTAGCCATGATTGTCGTCCGTGTAATGCTCTGTCTCATATGCTTAGTTGCAGTAGCAGCATGCGTATCAGGTGCAGGAGTCGCAATCGGAGTGGTGGAAGCGAAAGTGCAAGAACAATTAGAAGTAGTAGTTGCAGTAGTTGTCGTCGTTGACATCATAGTAGTAGTAGTAGTCGTCGTCGTCGTCGTAGAAGTAGTCGTAGTGGCAGGTGGTAGTAGTAGTAGTAGTAGTAGTAGTAGTAGTAGTAGTAGTAGTAGTAGTAGTAGTAGTAGTAGTAGTAGTAGTAGTAGTAGTAGTAGTAGTAGTAGTAGTAGTAGTAGTAGTAGTAGGCACCCCCCACCCCTACCAACTACACTTGCTCTTAGCCATGTTAAGACGACATCCATTTTACTCGGTATTTACGGCACTTTCGTCATGTGAGATCATCATAATAGACCTCAAAATCGACTTGTCGAGTTTGCAAACTCGGGCTCTTGATTTTGGACTTGCTGGGTGGGGGGGGTGGGGGGGTGGGGGGGGATGATGACGACACTGTTACGCGAACAGACCCAACAGTATCACCACAAGAGCCGTTTTACTCGGTATTTACGGTACTTTCGTCGATGTTGGTGATGAGATGTGTTTGATTTTTGGTGATGTTGGTGATGACATGTGCTGATGTTAGTGACGATGATGTTGACAGTTATGGCGAAGTGTAGTTGGTAGGGGTGGGGGGTGGCTAGTAGTAGTAGTAGTAGTAGTAGAAGTAGAAGTAGAAGTAGAAGTAGAAGTAGTAGTTGTTGTAGTAGTTTTAGTAGTAGTCGTTCTTGTTGTTGTTGCTGCAGTAGCAGGAGTAGTAGTAGCAGTAGTAGTAGGAGGAGTAGTAGTAGTAGCAGTAGTAGTAGTAGTAGCAATCGTAGTAGGAGTAGAAATAGGAGGAGGAGTAGTAGTAGCAGTAGTAGTAGTAGCAGAAGAAGAAGTAGTAGTAGTAGTACTAGTGCAAGTAGTGCTAGTAGTAGCAGTAGTAGGAGTAGGAGTAGGAGTAGGAGGAGGAGAAGGAGTAGTGGTGGTAGTAGTAGTAGTAGTAGTACAAGTAGTGGTAGAAGTGGCAGTAGCAGTAGCAGTAGTAGTAGTAGCAGTCGTAGCAGTAGTAGTAGAAGGAGTAGGAGTAGGAGTAGGAGTAGCAGTAGGAGGAGGAGTAGTGGTAGTAGTAGTAGTAGTAGTAGTAGCAGTAGTAGCAGTAGTAGTAGTAGTAGTCGTCGTCGTCGTAGAAGTAGTCGTAGTGGCAGTAGTAGTAGTAGTGGTAGAAGTGGTAGTAGCAGTAGCAGGAGCAGTAGTAGCATCAGCAGTAGAAGTAGGAGTAGGAGGAGGAGTAGTGGTAGTAGTGGTAGTAGTAGTAGTAGTACAAGTCGTGGTAAAAGTGGTAGTAGCAGTAGCAGTAGTAGCAGTAGTAGTAGAAGTAGGAGTAGGAATAGGCTTAGGAGTAGGAGGAGGAGGAGGAGGAGGAGGAGGAGGAGTGGTCGCAGTACTAGTAGGAGTAGCAGTAGCAGCAGCAGTACAAGGAGTAGGAGGAGTAGCAGTAGTGGTAGTAGTAGTAGTAGTAGCAGTAGTAGTACTAGTACTAGTAGTAGTAGTAGTAGTAGCAGCAGTAGTAGTAGCAGAAGCAGCAGTAGCAGTAGTAGTAGTAGTTAGGAGTAGTTGGGAGTAGGTGTATGAGTAGGAGGGGGAGGAGGAGGAGTAGTCGTAGGCCTGGTGGTGGTGATAGTCGTCGAAGTAGTTGTCGTCGTCGCAGTGATAGCAATTGCAGCAGCAGTGGCATCCGGTCGTCGCTACCCTTGCCATGATCAAGACTGTCCTGCTGCTCCTGCTCCACAGCTTGGGTGCTCGGAGGCTCTGCAGTCGAAGAGCTGGATGGTATACGAACTGGCCTCAGGCACAGCTGTGACTGTGCATGATACATATACATACATACCTTCTGCACACCCACACCTGCCGGCCTACCCACTTACGTTCGTACATACGTATGTACCTTACGTACACATGTTACATACATCAGTACATTGCTATTCTTATTGTTATCGTGTTATTCTTAGTCTTAATATTGTTATCGCTATCTACATTTATACATGTATACACGCACACTCACCTAAAATTTGTACAACCTACACAGACGCACACAGATTGTACGTTTAGTGAGCTAAGGAGGTGGCGGTAACGCAGGATCTAGGATGGTGTGCGCAAACAAGGCATCATGGACCTGAACACATAATTGTCCTAGGCAAACATACACATCACGCGCATGTACCCGCAACAGCAAATAGTCACATGCACACACCACGAGTTCGATGATGATATGTAACTTCTATGATCTTGTGTGCCATCGGTCGAATGCACAATCTTGCACACGAACGATCCATGTCAAGACCTGGCTTACCTCATGGTACTTGCCGAGCAGCTGCCCGGGAAGACCCATTCTTGAGCTCGTCCGCTGCATGGCCTTCCTTGAGAGCGGCTTCTCCGCCGCAACAGGAGGCGCTCCCTCCTTCGGATCTTCCCGTGACGCCATCTTGTGCCGCGGGACGGAAGGTATCTCTCACTCACTGGCTCAGCTGAAACAGCTGCAGGTAATTAAAGGTTAGGCAAGCTATCCAACCATGTCGTAGGCCTTCCTGGCAACCAAAACTGACGGTATGAATGATAGTGTAGCGGAGAGTGAAATGCGTACCTGCAGCTATAACTAGAACGATACACTGATACAGTTTTTTGTGTTTCTCCGCATCTTCGGCTGTAGAAGGGCCCTGCTTTGCAGGATCAGCAAGCCCTCCCACTCGAGGTGAGATCGTTGGTGGCAGTGCCACCACCAGCCAAGAAACCACAGATCAGGTCGGTGTTTGTTGCTGATTGCTCTATGCCTATGCTGCAGCAGCATATGCGGCTCGCACGCAGTTGTCGGTTCTGTGCACATGCTGCAACTGGACCCAACAACTTCTACCACGACCCTCACGGCTGGTCCGAGTAGCGTGGCCCGCACTTGCCGGGCCGAAGGAAGCGGCGGGCATTAAAGGGCGCGGGCCCGCGGATTGCGAGCCCCTCGCCGTCCCCGACATTTCTCGGGCCCATTCTCCCAAGTCGCTGCTTCTGTGCAGCTGTCGGAGTAATCTCTTCTTCGGAAACTGAGACATCGAGCAGCTTTGGCGCGATGGCCCAGTCGTACACCCGGGCGACGATGTCCGGGTATTCGGTCTCTTCGACGGTCTGGCCGGGGAGGCCGATGCCTCGAGATCGAAGGCAGATACTGGCTCCAACGAACCCGCTGAAGTCTTGAACAAGCCCTGAGCCGGGCAGGTCTTGCAGCTTCGGCACACTCCAGGCGTAGAGTAAATCTTTCTCCTCGCACCTGTGACAGGGACACTACTGTAGTCGTACAATGCCCAGTTTCGTTCCGTTTCAGAAGCATCCCGCACGTCGGCGAGGTCAAGAACTCCGAAAAAGAACTCCCAGAGCCCACATCATGTGCCACTGCGCCTTCTCGACACGAAGGTTGGCCAAGTTGCCCCCTTCTTTCAGGAGTTTCCTGGAGTCCCACGCGATGCGGATCCACCAGCAGTGTGCACTATCGAAAGCCGAGCCAAAACCGAGTACATATTTATACACTAAAACCATGAAGCACCGCAAGCTTGTCCTGGGCACCCCCTTCACATGCTTCCAGCGAAGCAAGCCCAAGACATCCGCGTTGATGTCTACAAGGAGTCCTTTGGCAGAGTCAGGCAATTGCAGGGCAAGCGTGCACCAGCTACTTGTGGAGGTTGCTGCCGGTGAAAACCAGCATAGACGTGCAGCCGATGTGAAACTTCCACTACCTTAAGAAACCCCTTCGTCGTCCCTTTCCATTCAAAGTGTCGACAAGAGCATGTCCAGGTACAGTTCTTGGAATGAGTGATGGTTCAAGTGCAGGCGAGTCGCCCAACTTGAAGGCTATGACAATTTTACCTGAGCGTGTCGACATCGCTTCCCCTCAAAACGAAAAAGCGGCTGTCACTGCTTCATGTGGGGGGGTGTTATGAGTGCGAGCCAGTCACCCTCGTAAAGCTTCTCCATGGAGAGTTGGCTCAAACAGAGCTGTGCTTGCCGCTTAACGCCGCCCGGCAAGCGAGTTGCCGCTTCCTGTGACAACGACATGCACACAATCAAGATGACCCAAGGCAGAAGGCATCCCCGGCCTCCGCTTTCTGTTGAGCCGCCTGTGCTCTTGCCGCGTCAACTGCGCGCATGAAGGCACGATTCGCCAGCAGGCCGTCCGAATTGGACGCCGGCATCTGTTCGAACCTGAGGGGTGACGACTCCGGTCCATGTAGCTTTCAACAGGAATCTTTGGCCGAGGCACGAGAGGCTATTTGAGGGCATCTGCACCTGCGAGGCACGAGGCAGGAAATCGCGTGATGAGCAAACTGTCCAGTCCAGCACCCCCTTGAGACGAGCACAACACGCAAACTTTCCTTGTCGGCTCCATCCTCGCAAGAACGACCTCTGAAGGAAAAGGCCGAAGCCTCCGAGAAGCTTTTGGGGACGAAGACGATTTCCTCGTCCTCGCAGGGGCATGGAGGTGCAATTTGAAGCTTGAGGGTGCGGCGGATTCGCTACAAGTTTACATTGTGGATCCTACTTAACAGATGGTTGGGGTCTACAGATGCCTCGTACGTAAGCACCTCTGCCTCAACAGCATACACCACGGAGCCCACACGCACACACACACACAGACGCTCATCAAGAGTGGCTTGGACACAGTTGCCCATGCTGACGCATACTCGGACACGAAGAGAGCATTGGAATTCGGATAAGACCCGATCATTGGTCACCCGGATGTCTTCTGCGGGCCTGCATCGGAGCACTGTCAGGGACCATCCGCAGGAATGGCACGATACCATCAGAGTTTGCCCGGATCGGCCCAGGCCCAACAAACCTTAGACAATGCAGTTCCCCGTATCTGATGCTGCTAACAGAGCTCGAAAAGGAGCTGCTTCATGCCAAGGAACGACGACTCGCGTGTCATGGGCACCATCTGCCAGGAGAGATCAAAGAAGGTTTCAACGGCAAGCTTTGCTACGGGGAAAACAGAGCTGGCACACGGAACAAGAACTGCAACAACGCTATCCTGTTTGAAGAAGAACTGAAGCTGACAGCAGAAAAAACGATAAGCAACAGCAGCAAGTACTACCACAGCCGTTGGGGCTGCGAGTGTCATCATGTTCTGTTTCCTCTGGGCTTACCAGCAGTTCATTGCACAATTCCTCTCCTTCTGTCGGCCTACTGATGAGAATAGGGAGGATCTTGTCAAAAGATGATGATGGCTCTGATTCTGGCTGCTTCTCAATCTCGGGTCGGACTGCTGTCGTGGTGCAGATGCCGTGACAATGTCGGAGATGACCAGAATCTTACGAACACTGCTATAGCGGCTGTGCTGGCCATAACCTCGCATACGCCATGCTGGACCAGATTGCTGGTTTAATAGTAGCTGCTGCATGCTGCTGCGGCAGCAACTGCTCGTGCCAGGCTCATGCACTGTGATTAAGTCTACTACGGCCACCCTCTGTGCCACAGGGCCTCACTGTAGGCTTTCGGCATGAAGTGCATAGGTTGGTCCTTCGGCAGTTGCTGCGCTATCCGACTTGCAGGTCAGGAACCCTTTGGGGATCCGGGCCCATGATGCACCTCTCGCTTCGTATCCGAAAAGTCGATCTTCGTATCATTTGTACGCCGTATATGTGTAAACTACATACATACATATTGTGTATATATATATATATACATGTTTATATTACCCTTTTCCATATATATATATATATATATATATATATACATGTATGTATGTATGTACATACACATTGGTGTTTTATGATATATGTATATGCATCTACATCATAGTCTTCCTTCTCAACAAATGTGCATAAACACACACTAGCACCCTTGTATAGCGAAAACAGGGACGTTGACGTCATTGCCTTTCCCGTAATGCCGGTTATTTGTTTGCAGCCGCGCGATTCGCACAGAATTGCTTCTGCACCATTCTGCACATCAAACTGTAGCCATGATTGTCGTCCGTGTAGTGCTCTGTCTCATATGCTTAGTGGCAGTAGCAGCATGCGTATCAGGTGCAGGAGTCTCAGTCGGAGTGGTGGAAGCAGGAGTGCAAGAACAATTAGAAGTAGTAGTTGCAGTAGCTGTCGTCGTTGACATCATAGTAGTAGTAGAAGTAGTAGCAGTAGTAGTGGCAGTAGTAGTCGTCGTCGTAGAAGTAGTCGTAGTGGCAGTAGTAGTGGTAGAAAGAGTACTGGCAGTAGTAGTGGGAGTAGTAGTAGTAGTAGTAGAAGTAGCAGCAGTCGTAGGAGTAGTAGGAGTAGGAGTAGGAGGAGGAGTAGCAGTAGCAGTAGCAGTAGCAATAGAAGTAGCAGTAGCAGTAGCAGTAGCGGTAGCGGTAGCAGTAGCCGTAGGAGTAGGAGTAGGAGTAGTAGTAGTAGTAGTAGTAGTAGTAGTAGTAGTAGTAGTAGTAGTAATACAAGTAGTGGTAGTAGTAGCCGTAGCAGCAGTAGGAGTCGGAGTAGGAGTAGGAGTAGGAGGAGGAGTAGTGGTGGTGGTAGTAGTAGTAGTAGTAGTAGTACAAGTAGTGGTAGAAGTGGTAGTAGCAGTAGTAGCAGTAGTAGCAGTAGCAGTAGTAGCAGCAGAAGCAGTAGTAGTAGAAGTAGCAGTAGGAGTAGGAGGAGGAGGAGTAGTAGTCGTGGTGGTGGTGATAGCCGTCGAAGTAGTAGTCGTCGTCGCAGTGATAGCAATTGCAGCAGCAGTGGCATCCGGTCGTCGTTACCCTTGCCATGATCAAGACTGTCCTGCTGCTCCTGCTCCACAGCTTGGGTGCTCGGAGGCTCTGCAGTCGAAGAGCTGGATGGTGTACGAACTGGCCTCAGGCACAGTTGTGACTGTGCATGATACATATACATACGTACCCTCTGCACATACCTGCCGGCCTACCCACTTACGTTCGTACATACGTATGTACCTTACGTACACATGTTACATACATCAGTACACACTACGAACACAACATAACCGATGACAAACAGCCATGTACATTGTTATTCTTATTGTTATTCGTATTATTCTGAATACTGTTATCGCCATCTACATATGTATATATATATATATATATGTATATATATATATATATGTATACACATACACTCACATAAATGTTGTACAACCTACACAGACGCACACAGATTGTACGTTTAGTGAGCTAAGGACGTGGCGGTAACGCAGGATCTAGGATGGTGTACGCAAACATGGCAACATGGACCTGAACACATGATTGTCCTAGGCAAGCATACACATCACGCGCATGTACCCACAACAGCGAATAGTCACACGCACACACCCCGAGTTCGATGATGATATGTAACTTGTATGATCTTGCGTGCCATCAGTCGAAAGCACAATCTTGCACACGATCGATCCATGTCAAGACCTGGCTTACCTCAAGTAGCACAGGTTCCATGTAACTAAGTACTTGCCGAGCAGCTGCCCGGGAAGACCCATTCTTGAGCTCGTCCGCTGCATGGCCTTCCTTGAGAGCGGCTTCTCCGCCGCAACAGGAGGCGCTGCCTCCTTCGCATCTTCCCGTGACGCCATCTTGTGCCACGGGACGGAAGGTATCTCTCACTCACTGGCTCAGCTGAAACAGCTGCAGGTAATTAAAGGTTAGGTAAGCTATCCAACCATGTCGCACGCCTTCCTGACTTTGCCTGACCTTCAGCTTCTGTGGAACTTGACTGCTAAAGCACAAATAACCGTCATGACCCAGCTCCACGAACTAAAGCTCAAAATGTTCAAGACTCGTTCTGCCTGCCACGACGACATCTGACCTGCAAGAGCATAGAAGAACTCGCATTGCATCTGCTTAAGAGGGACCGCATCGGGGGTCTACAGATCCTCGTAATGCGCATCTTGGTGTCCTTAACCACCGGATGGCCTGGAAACAAGATCAGCAGCTATGCATGGCCAGGGCACCAGCCACCACTCTCGATACTTAGGCTGAGGGTTGCAGTGCCATCTTACGAGGTCCGGGGGGCAGTCAATCGATTTCGTGCCAGTGTCTGCCGCAACAGTGACAACTAAAGCTTCTGGGGCTGGGGGCAAATGGCTGCACCATGGTGGCTACGTGGCATCATGCCTCTTTACTATGCGAGCCATCTGCGTGGCGGGTTCGCTGAAAAGTGCAACCAACGCATCTTGTCTGCTCAGCTGATGGTCCGAAGAGTTGTCTGGAGCTAAGCTCAGTTTTTTGACACAGGTTAGCTCTTCCTGCGACATCTGGAAGGTCTTGACGCCACATTCCGAGAAGCACATCGAAGCTGTATCAAAGGAAAGCTAGAGGAACATCAGCGACGAATCCTCGACAGTGAAAGCAGATTCGCAGCGAGGCGGTTCTGCAGAGAGAGCTGCCTTTCTCATTCTCGCCATTGCTTACATGGTCTGTGCAGGGTGGCCGTTCTTTGGGCCACACAGACGATGATTTAAAAGAATTGGCCCGGCAAGGCACTGCCCACAGCTGCCGGGAACCCTAGCAGTCCTAGCACCCCTAAGTCTCCCTTCCAACGAGTCACCATGCAGCCCTGGGCAGGAGAACATTTGCATCGTCCCTCTGTTCCTCTCACCAGCTGATGTGCATGGGTGGTTCTCAAAATTAGGGTCCCGTTTTGGGTCCTTAATATAATACGGCACCTATTATTTAGGGTACCCAACAAGGGACCCTAATTTTGACAGCCACCCACATGGCTGTCGTAAACTCGTCCAAGCTCTGAAGCTGAGAGAACACGCAGAAGGAGGGGGTCATTAGCATTCCGGCGCCGGGGAGTCTGATCCAGCCCTGACTCACTCGTCGTCGGAAGAGCCTCAACTTCAAGCACGGGTAGCTGGATGCTCCCAATTGGATTATTGGGCGCAGGATGTGGCACTGTCATGTCATACTGTACTCCAACATACCATTCCACAGCACACCAAACTGTACTATACTCTACCCTCTGCTACGCTGCAGTACTGACGCTTTCGAACCCAACACGAGCTGCGGGCCATGGCGGTTCACCCCCAGGAGGCGGGTGCCTGAAAGTCTGGGAGAAGGATAGAACCCATAATCTAGGAACCTGATTAAGAAACTTTGGGCTTTTGTTCGGGGCCCTTATATGAGCCCTACTGCTTTGGGGTTATGGGCCCAGGGTTTCTTAGTCAGGTTCCTACAGTAGCCTGAAACGGTGCTCTTGCGGTCATCACGGTTCAGGGTTCAGCTCTTCGGATGGATGGGCCTCTGGACTTACAGGATAGCTTACAGTTGGGTGGTTGTCAAAATTAGGGTCCCATTTTTGGGTCCTTATTATACGGCACCTATTATTTAGGGTACCCAAAAGGGACCATAATTTAGACAACCATCCAGTTGAGGGCTTAGAGGGCCATCACGATGAGGAAGAGCGCGCGCATGAGGACCACCCGCCGAAAAACAGCGAAACGGATTCGAGCTCAGTAATCTGCACAGCGTCCTCAGCATCACTGCCATCATGAGCCGTATAGCCTAATATCGGGGCCTTAATATTTCGAATGGTTTTGGGCCGTTGTACTATAATTACAATAAGGAACCCACCACAATAGTATTGGTAATTATTTCGGCCCCAGTATTGCTACAGGTAAACACCGAAGTCATAACAAAAACGGTGGGCGAGCCTTCCCGCAACTAACCGCGCGTTACGACTCATTTTCGGAAGTCATAACAAAATCGCTTTCCACCATGTCACCGCCAGATATTTGAGTAGTCTGCAACGTCCCTTCCGCATGTTCAGCGCTGATAAGAAGTCATAACATTTGCTGTTTCCCCCAAGTAACCGCGCCTGACACAAAACATGGTTTCCACACACCGCGTCTGAAACTTTCTACCGAACCGTGGGCTTGGAAGCCACAAGAGGCACTTCCAGTGCTAAAGTTGTACTTGCAACCAAGCACAATCCAGCAAGGACGCCAAACGAGGCATTTCCAGTACTAATTAAAGTTGTACTACAACCAAGCACAATCCAGCCAGGATGCCAAACGAGGCATTTCCAGTACTAAAGTTGTACTACAACCAAGCACAATCCAGCCCGGACGCCAAACGAGGCAATTCCAGTACTAAAGTTGTACTACTACCAAGCACAATCCAGCCAGGACGCCAAACGAGGCATTTCCAGAACTAAAGTTTGGTACTAAAGGGACTTTGGCAAGGAACCCGTATCACCAACTACACCGCGGAATGTTACGACCTAGCGTTTTCGCTTCCCCGAAGGTATGCTCCGACTTGCTGACATGCGTTACGACTTCGGTAGTTCCCTGTAGCACGTCCGGAGCATCTCGAAAGCTGTGGTAGATTTGAGCCCGGGGAGCTCCAGGGCCCGAACTCTGCTCGAGCTCCTCCTCGTCGAAGAGCTTCTCCTAAGGGTGGTTGTCAAAATTAGGGTCCATTTGTGGGAACCTTAAATAATGGGTGCCGTATGATAATAGGGACCCAAAAGGGGACCATAATTTTGACAACCACCCTAAAGAAGCACCGATATCGAGGTCTGCTAGACGACGCAGCCGCAGCTTGAAGTGAAGGTTGGGGCCAAAAGGGGGCGACTACGTTAGGAATACCTTATTCCTGCAAGGACACACATCACCAAAGCCCTGAAAAAACTCGAAAACCCTCACACGCTCAAATCCAAAGCCCCTCATCCCCCCTAAAACCCAAGCTAAAGCCTCAGACCCCAAAACCCAATCCTAAAACCCAGAATCCTGAACCCGCAACCCTGACTAATCCCCAAAATCCCAGATACTAGACCTAAGCCATCCTAAACCTGACAAACCCTAAAAACCCTAAAACAAACCCTGCAAACCTTATACGCCCAACAGAGGGTCCTTTCGCCCGGGCCGCCTTCCTCTCGGCCGGCCTCGGGAAGGAAGGGGACACTTTAAGGCTTTCGCGTTAGGGTTCGGGGTTTGGGGTTTGGGGTTTAAGGCTTACGGTTTAGGGTTTAAGGCTTTAGAGATTGGGGGTTAGTGGTTGGGGTTTAAAGCTTTCGGTGCCTTTTTGGGCGTCGTGCCCCTTTGCCAAATTTTCAGCAAGCAAATCAACTACTTTGATGTTGGAATTCTTCGGAGATACGGAGGGAAGCGGCAACAGGTCATGGATTAGGCCTCTGCATCAACAAAGATGTTCACCGATTTTGGGTGTGGAGTTCGTAATGTTGAAGGTGATGTCTGCTTGTGTGCCGGCTGCTTCCTGCTCCTACAGCCAATGCACTTAGCCCTGACATCGTCGGCATTGCAAGCGTGAACACAACTGTGTGAAGTTAGTGGCAATATCGCCATCAATACCACTCTCATCCGCGGGTTCTTGAGCGTCCGTAAAACCACCGGCTTGTTCCTCTCCGTTGAGGCTTGCGCCAGATCTTATTTGCCAAGGGAGTGTCACGGTCATGCAACCACGTTCTTGAGACACCAGATGCGGGCCCATGCTCCAAACTCAAGCACATCTCAGCGATGACCTCCCCGCTGTGTGTACATACTTGTCTGCACAGGCCTCCAGGCGCTGCTGTTGATTTTGAGAACATGTAGGATTACATCTGTGATGGGTCTTGGGTCGCTACCGGTTCCGATGACGTCTGTTCCACCCAAACATATGTTACTGGGCTACTAGTCTTAGTGTGTGATTGCATCGAGTACTTGCTAATTCTCAGTGTCGCCGTTGAAGAAGTCACGCTGCCGACTTTCTCATACATACTTGTCGGGTGTCATGGGGAACTAAAGGTTAATCTTTTTGGTGATATAGGGATTGAACATGGGGACTATACTACCCCAAAAAGGTTAAATACCTACGCATACAACTGCCGACGTTCTCAGGATCTAGAAAGAAGATCCCTTAACTTGGGGCCCTATACTACCAAGGGTACTTTATAGGAACCCCCATTAAGGGATATGCAACTTTGGGAGCCTTCGGAGTTCGGTCCCTCGGCAGAATTCCGAGCCGCCCGCGGCTGCTGCCATGGCCTTCCAACGCATCACGGGCTTCAACAACGGCACCGCCAAGACTTCGTATGCTAGTCCAATATATATAGGGGCCTCAATAATTGGAATAGGGTTTTGGGGCCAATTCTACTGTAATTAGAATAAGGAACCACCAAAATAGCACTGGTACTGGTAATTATTTAGGCCACCATAGTAAAAGTTGGTGCTGGATTCCGAGCTTCGGATCTTGTGCGCGGCATGATGTCACTGCACCAGCCTCATCTTGCTGCTGTCCACCCTCTCAGCAGACCTATGCATAAGGACCCTTAATTAGGGGGTAGGGGGGTAGGGGGCCTTAATCCCCATAATAAGGACTTAATAAGGCCTATGTTTAAGGAAGTATAGTCCCCTACCCCCCCTCTCGCAGATGGATGCTGGGTGCCGGACAACACGCAAAGCAGAAGCAGGTGCAAAGGACGAAGACTGCCACGGCTGCGACAAGACCTGAGTATACAGGTGTAGTTCGTGAATAGGCGCCTCGCGATTACAACTACCATCTGACTATATCTGACTGCCCCTGTATAGGTGCAGCTTCTATACTGCTGCCGTGCACTACACAACCTCTCTGTATGTCAGCTCACAGCCAATTAAAATGCAAAACGTCATGAGGTTGCCGGTTGTAGTCACTCCAACAAACTACATCAATCTGATTAGCTGACCATAGCAACAGGATTAACGGTGGATTAGCAAGAGGTCTGCCTTAGCATTGGTCACGTCTGTGATTTATCACAGCAGAATGCTACTTTAAAGATACCCGAGTACCATATTATAGCTTTCCCATGCCAGCTAACACAGAGCTTGCTCACTATGCTTGTGTCCAGAATTTCAGGTGGAGAGTCTGGGAATGATATGGAAATTGTGTGGTGGGATGTTGAGGTTTCTCCAGCTTAGGTGTCTGATAAGCTGATCAGGACTGATCTGAAGAAAGATCATTGCGTACACAGATGCCATTACGGTAGAGAAGGATGAACTCGTTGACAACCTCCGAATTCCTGAAAAAGTCTGAGAAAGTGTATACTTATGAGTCACCGTTCCGTAGAGACCGAGATGGACACCTGCAGTCAAGGCGAGACGCTCTAAAACAAAATCCGCAAATCCGCGGATGCGGAATGCTGGAAAGCCTAGTCCAAAACCCCAAACCCTCAACTCTAAACCCTCAACCCTGAACCCTCAACACTCCACCCTGCGTTACTGGGAATAACTTTCTGAGCTCTGGAGTTCCGAGGTATAACGCTCTGCTTATGAACCAAACAAGATGGTCCTTGGCCGAAAACCGTCTCGGGACGGGCCCCACCGACATGGGGGTTAGTCCCGATCTGCAGCTGAATGTGATTAGCCCTGACCCGACAATTTGAATCAGCAAAGGGGCGTCGGTCCTTTCTGTCGCAGCGAAACTGTCCTGACTTCAAGCCCATGACGACGTAATGCATCAAGTGCCTCAGAACCTTCGGATCCCAGCATATTGGGGGCCGGCACGATGGAAGAGCAGGTGGGAGGATGCGGAGACTTGGACTGGAGGATAGCTGCAACAATGGCTGCAACACCCGCATCACCCAGTTCGTGGCACGACAGATCCACAAATGCCACGCGCGCTCACACTGCAGGAGCCCTTCTGTCAGCACCGCAGCAGCCTAAGGTGGAATGCTGAACCTGTGCTCAACTTTCTGAGGCTTGCCAAACTGGCTGCGAGTGCGGCAGCGACCTCTAGTGGCACAGCTGAGGTCGCCGCATCTGCAAAAGCTCCTTTGACTTGAAATGCATTGCCGGCAACCTGAAACTCCGTCCCGTCCTTGCAACGCACAAGCACTGCAATCTCAGTTCATGCCAATGGCATCCATTCAACCTATGCCCGGCGAAGATGAGAACTGCTGGACACAAGAAGTGCAACAAACCCTGCAAATCTCAGATGCCGTGTTGGGACTGGGCACCCACGTGCAGCCGCTCAAAGTTTCAAAGTGCCGAAGTTCAAAAGCTCAATCTTGGGGAGACGGCTTGCTGTCAAGTAGACGCGTTGGCCGGCTTGCTGCCAAAAGATCTCGTCCTGTCAAAAGATCTCGTCCTGTTAGCTGCACGACTGGATCTTCATCCTCGCGTCGTAAATCTGAGAACCAAGCGGCCCACCGGTTTCTGCTCCTTTCCGTCCTTCACCCGCCCTTGAAACTCTCTCGGGCTGATCGGCGCTAGGCTCGTCAACAACGGCGCGCATTCGTATTCGTATTGCTGTGACGGCAACCTGTGCTTACATCATGAAGACTCCCACCAAGGCAGCGAGCCAGCAAACATAAAGGCAAGCTGCATCCATCGGAATCCACCAAGACAGGCCGAATCCACCAAGGCCCAAGGCCAACCCAACAGGTAGAATGCAGAGTCCAACCAAGCCAGCCACGTGAACATTGAGAAAAGAAGGGGCAGGCCAAGCGCCAATTAGAGGTATCGTTGAGATCTGAAAGCGCCATACACCGTGCTGAGAGAGTCGGCTGCCAGTACTCCAATCCAGGCGCCACCAGGCATCGGATTACTGTATTGGAAGTCTCGACATCTTATCCATTCATGTTGTTGTACTTCCCCCCACTCCTACTCCTCGCAAGGACACTTTTTCGGCCAGTCGGCCCATCTCCTGCAGCCGGTAACCTGCGTCCACGGCTCGTGGCGCTGAACGGTATACCACACAGTTCAGCACCACCTGCCGTGGACGCAGGTCAGGGTCAGCTCCGAAGATCCAGCTCTGACAACAGCCCAAGCTCCGTGGTACCAGTACTCCAATCCAGCTGCCACCAGACATCGGATTGATGGAAGTCTCGACATCTCATCCAATTAGCCCGGAAGATCAGGGAAGACTGTGTAGTTGGAAGCCCCATGAATCCGGGTGTCGTTGCGATTCCCAGCAGCGTGACACAGGAACGATGCACATGTCGAGGGATGAAACGGGCTGCCTGGACCCTGTCGAGAAATGCACGGACATGAAGCAAAAGCGCATACCCAATAGGGAATTGAAGCCACACCGGCTGCAGGTCACGCACCCAAAGTCACAAGTTCACACATCGACCCAGCACTTGATCAAAATGACAGCTCTCGCTTCACTCATTGGCCCAACACCAAGGCCCGCACCCATTCCGAGCTCGTGCAGATGTATCCGTAGCCTCGGTCCACAGGAGTACCCTAACCTACCAAAACCTACTGTTTGTCGGGTCCCTATAAATTCAATATTCTAGGGTTTGTAATAAGAAGCTATAAAACGGTAGGGTTTGGTAGTTTTAGGTAGGCAACCACGAAACTCCAGATGGGCATCTCGGACCCTTGCTCGAGCTCTTCACTTGCAGTGGTAGCATGTAGTTTGCTTACGACAGCGTTGTAAACACCTCGGACAAGTAAACGACAGAGATACCACCGTCGCCGTCACTGACAGGTGCACTTAAACTCCACCTGTGCGTGGCCGTGGCCGTTTGGATGAGAACTGAGTTAACTGAGCTTCAAGCACATGGCATTGACCGCCGACGTGCTGCAAGAAGTGCAGCGTCTGCCACTGCGAAGGTTTGCACACCTGTCAGTGTTTCATCCTTGGATGAAGACTGTATTTTTCGTCAGTTGGTGTAGATGACACCAGTATAGATATGTTTTTCTCATATGATAGCACTAATATTATCAATGACTGATAAGAATCAACCGTAGGAGCTTTTAGGTTCTCTGGGGCATCTAAGATTTGGGCCGGTCTGTACTTGAGCTGTGACATACGAGCTGAGATCGTCCGCTTGTGATCAGGGCCCGCTCTGATCTGAACAGCATTGAGCACCCGAGTTGTAGTGGTGGTAGGACAGGGTAGTAGTAGTAGTAGTAGTAGTAGTAGTAGTAGTAGTAGTAGTAGTAGTAGTAGTAGTAGTAGTAGTAGTAGTAGTAGTAGTAGTAGTAGTAAAGTAGTAGTAGTAGTAGTAGTAGTAGTAGTAGTAGTAGTAGTAGTAGTAGTAGTAGTAGTAGTCGTGGTAGTAGTAGTAGTAGTAGTAGTAGTAGTAGTAGTAGTAGTAGTAGTAGTAGTAGTAGTAGTATGTAGTAGTGGTTCTTGTTGTTGTAGCAGCAGCAGTTGGAGGAGGAGGAGCAGCAGCAGCACGAGGAGCAGACATGTTGGATACACTCGCCGTCCTTGTCGTCGTAGCGGCAGCATTAGCAACTCATTCTAGTATTCTTCACTGAAAGTCTTTCGGGGACTATCAGCCCTTTCCGATGCGGGTGCCTCACACCTCTCGTAACTGGAGCAGCGCGCACAGTGTTCCGGACCTTACTGTGGGCTTCAGCTCGCTGTTCTCGAGGACGTCTGACAGACCGCAGATCAATGCTACTGCGCCTCTTGCAAAGGCTTGTATAAGACCGGAACAAGCTTCGCACCGCGAAGACGCATGCCGTGGAAAGTACCTGGGCATCCCGACACATGCTCAACAAAGCAGCAGAATAGTGCCTCGCTTCGCTGCAGGGCACCCGTCGTTGCAGGTCATGGCACACAGTCGCACGTCAGGGGCGTAGAAGGGCCTCCATACGGAGTCCACCGACAAAGCAAGATCCAGGTACTCGTGTGCATGATCGACTTCCCCCCCCCCAGATTCATAGATATGATGACACTGCACTGCAAAGGCATCACTGCTGCCAGGATTTAGCAAAGCATGCGGGCCAGCCTTTGTGGAGGACAGGGTTGCCGGAAGGCATGAATATGATACCTGCGAGCACAGCTGGAGAAGTTCTAGACTCCATTTCCGACTTTGCCATTTGGAGCCGGGGAACCCAGCAGAACGTAACAAGCCTGAGTAACAAGCCCAAGTACCTGTTAATATCAGACTTTGCACTGAAGCTTCACAACTCACATCTTCTCGGGATTTGGCAAGCACTTCCCCTGTCCCCTGCTCGACTCAAGGAGAAGCAGCGCACATTCGGCTGAGCGTGGTGTTGCGATTGGCAGGAAAAACGCGGATCTGGACCAGCCGGGATCCGTTCACCTACGAAGGGCAAGGTAAAGGTCAGAGTCGGGTTGCATTTATTTCCTTACGTCTACAAATTACCCAATATAGAATCGCATATGATTTGTGATGTGTTTGCTATTGTTATCAGTATTAGTACTAGAATTATTAGTCCTATTAATACTTTCACCCTTACAACTACTAGTCCTCCTCCTGCTGCTGCTGCTGCTACTACTACTACTACTACTACTGCTACTGCTACTGCTACTGCTACTGCTACTGCTACTACTACTACTACTACTACTACTACTACTACTACTACTACTACTACTACTACTACTACTACTACTACTAGTAATACCTACTATGATGTATACATAAGACCACAAAAAATATATATATATATATATATATATACACACACACACACACATAGATGCACACACATATATACATATATATATATATATATATATACATATATATATAAATAAATAAATAAAAATATATATAAATATATATATATATATATATATATATATATTCTATTATACGTATATAATATGAGCAAGGACAGGCTCCCCTGTTTTGGCATGCTCCGTGAATCTTCATGAAATCTGAAGCCCGGCCTCGACGGGAAAGAACCTGCGTCGCCCGCCACACTCACATGGGAGTTTCCGAAAATTAGGGTTACCTTATTTTGGGACCCTCATAATAGGGATCCTACTATTTGAGGTACCATATTAGGGTCCCCTATTTTCGGAAACTCCCACATAAGGCTCAGGGTTAAGGGCATAGGTAAGGCTTAGGCTTAGGCGCTGAGGTCCTAGGGTTTAGGTCAGGGACTTCTCGAAACTTCTGCCCGGCGCTCCGTGGTTCTGTTCCGAAGAGTGGAACTTCTGTTCAGAGGAGTTGTGGAACTGAGCCAGGCCTCTGCACGCTGATGAGCTGAGTCTCCCCCGACAGCAGCCTCATGCGGTACTTCTGATGTCTGGGGACTTCAACGCAGCACACAAAGGTCCCGGCATTCGTCCAAATCTACATGGGATCTGGCGGCTGTGATACTGAGCCTCTGGCAAACGGCGTCCCTGAGAGAGATCGTTCATCCAAGAGAACAGACCGGTTTGCTGTTGAAGTCCGCCTAGGAAATGCCTGCAACTAACTGGGACGTTCTACGAGGCAGCCGACCAAACTTAGACTTCAGTCTTGGTCCCTATACACTTGCAAAGCCACGCTCACGGCACAAACGTCAAGACCCAAAGCACAGCGTGCTCCACGGGCATAGCGGCATGCCTTGTTGTTGAGAGCATCTTTGGCTACTACCTGCCAGCGCAGCAGGCCACGATTCTCTCATGATGTTTATGACGATAACGACGGTGATGATGGTGCTGATGTTGGCGGCGATGGTGGTGAGGTTGATCATGATGGTGATGCTGCTCATGAGGAAGGTTGCGATGATAAAAGCAGTGGTGATTACGATGACAAGCGTTGCTGGCATCCCATGCTTCACCCTCGGAGACATCCAAAGACCCCAAATCAGTCTAAATCCGGAGCACAGAACCTAAACCCACAAGCCGTAAGCCCCACCTTCTGCCCCAACTCCCGACACCCCAAATGACATCTGACCCACCTGTGTCCTTGGCTTCAAACTTTCCCCGTTGCTGGCCTCCGGCCTTCGCTGTCTTTTGAAGGCCGAAAGCTCTACAATAAGTGACATATAACTACGAGAACTGCACATGGCAACTATATTGATAAGCTGCAAAGGCTGCAATAGCTCTAGAACAAGGATATCTGTAAATCATGTTGGATAGAAGCGTTAGAAGTCTTCGGAACCCAAAGTGGTTTATTCTGACAGGTTTTGGGACTGTGCTGATAGAGCAAACAGCCAGAGAAGCACCAACGATGTGATGCCTCTAAACTTGCCCTGGAGAAGTCTGGCAGCACTATAATGAGATCTCAAGCGCGGTTGGCCAGCAAGCGGGACGAGCATGAGGAGAAATGAAGAGGCATAGAGCATGTCGCGGCAGCTTTGTCCATGAACCTCTCTGAGGGATTGGCCTCGATAATTTCTCCATAAAAGACCTCGTGGAAGTTGCTTCAAAACTTGTTCTGCGGGATGCTTCCTACAACCGGACACACACACACACACACACTCCTAGAGTGCTGACAAAGCTCAAAAAACTGCATCCGGTGCCCCCTGCTGCCCGAAAAAACCTGGGCGGTCGACGGATCCCAATAGGGCGCTGCTGTGGTGAATGTCCATCTCGGCTCCTTGCACCATTCTCATGCATCAAACCTTCGGGGGTATGCCGAACCTGCTTCCGGTGAGTTCAAAGGAAAGATGCAGTAAGGGTCTTCTGCAGTTCGAGGCCCATGGCTTCCCATTAATTTCCGTGGTATTTGGTATCATGTAGCCATCGTGCTGGCAAAAAACCAAGAAGCCTCCCACTCACTTCGTCGGGAAATGCTACTAAGTTACAAAAGCCAAAGATAAGAGAACCCACCCGGCAGTAACAGCTTTCAGAGGAGCTTTCATGTTGCAGCTAGACCAGCCCAAGCCCTGGCCCGCAGAAAGACATTCACACTGAAGGGGCCTGAATAACTGATTGGAATTCGGTTAATTGGAACTGGGTTTTCGGGGTACCTTACAGTAAACTTGCCTTAAGACACTCTGACAAATAGTTTAAATATTTAGGCGCCTGTAGTACAGAGCACCCAAGCAATTACCACAGCAAATCCAAGAAGCTCTCACAAGGCGCCACTTTTGCGCTCGTCGGAACGCGATGCATTAATCAAAGCCCTCCGGCTGGCCAGAGCATCCGCAGGACTTGCTGCTGAGGCAAACGGGGAGTGCGATCCAAACTAGAGCATCTAGATAATATAGACATATACATGTTTACTTGTTTATATGGTGTATATGTATATATATATATATAGATATGTATGCTCTGACATCCACGGTGTTGTGACTTTCATTTCAGGGCAGGGCTGTCGCAGTTGCGGCTCTGGGGTCAACCCGTGGCTCGCGACATAGCAGACACACACACACACACACCCACACCCGTAACCTACTGCCAGTACATACAACACACACACACACACACACACACACACACCCTGAACCACGCACACATACATATACACATACCTATGTGTGTATATATATATATGCACATGCACCGTCGGCTTGACATGTGTCTATAACACACACTCACTCTCTCTATGCAGCATGCACATACTCATGCGCACATGAACACATACTTGCAGACGGGTGCACACGTCTACATCTGCTTTATCGTCGTTACTGCCAGCATATAGACTCTTCACGCAGGCTATATCCTGCAGATGCTGTGGGCCGTCCCTCCTGTGGCCGCCGGGCATGCAGCAACTTCTTGTTGCTGCACTTTCCCTGGAATTCAGGCTCGGTGTTCGAGACCTCATCGAAAGCCATCGATGGAAGAACCAGGAGTCTTTGTACATGTCCTGGCAAACTCGGACTCGGGAAGATCCGCTGCTAAAGGGTCTGCTCTCACATAGCTTGTGGTAGTATCGAATCAGTACGGTCTCTCATGATATACATAGATAGATCGGTAGATGGACAGCTAGACTGATCGGTTAGTCAATACTTATATCTGCGTACCTACATGTCTACCTGTATGAAGGTGTGTATATACTGTATATATATATATATATATATATATGTATGTTAGTAGGTAGATAGATAGATAGATCGGCAGATAGATAGACTGATACGGGTATATATGTATGTATGTGTATATATATATATATATGTATATACATATTAATGTATTATATAGACCGCGGGCTACATCACTCTTAAAGCCCTGGTCTCAGACTTGCTTGGGCCCGGGCTAACCAAGACGGAGCGGCTTAGGCGCTGGGGTCCGAACCTCAAGGGGGTTTAGGGTTTAGGGTTTCAGGGTTTAGGATTTACGGGCTTCAGGGTTTTGGGTCCTCTAATCACTAAACGAAATTCAATTGCAGTACAGCACCACGGCCCGTCGAGATTGTATATTCGCTGGGGTCACACAAGCTTGAGAGTGTAAGTCTGCAGTTGTTGTGGCAGATCTGGCGTGAGCACCAGCGTATGATTCATCGGCAGCTATCCGAAGTTCCAATAAGCGTTCCACCAGTTCGCCAGGCAAAGCTTCGCGGTGCAGAGCCCGCCGTCAAGGACCCCACCTCGTTCTCGACGCGCGGTGTCGGTTAGTTCTTGCACCTGCGACAGAAGTGGGTCGCACGGCAATGGAAAGCTATGTCGCAGAACGGGAGTGGCGGCATCCACGAAAGCCCCTGCGACCCGCATCGCAGCCTCGGCCCAAAGATCCACGAGCTGCAAAGCCTGAGAATCAGCAGGTGCAGTTCACGGCCGCTTCTGGGGAAATGCTACTGTGGCATTTCTACATTGTTGACATCTCAAACAGGAAACCTCAAGGAAATGAGGACAGTTGACATGACCCATGCTGGCAGCATGGAGGTAAAAGACTACGACAACAACAGTAAGCAAGAGAATAAGAGGAAGACCCAAACCGGCAGCCGCAGATCCCTCATCTTAGAACACCTTGCGCCCAGAGTTCATAAAGCAATGTAACTCAAACCAGGGGAAGCGTATAGTAGAGTCCTTCTAAAGCCATCCGACATTCTCACCAACCTCATGAAATAATGCACCTAGATTCCTAGATTGAGGAATAGATCCAGAGACACGTTTACGACCCTAAACAACACTTGCAGAAATCCTAGGAGACTCTAGTCTAGATTACTCCGTTTAGCAACCCCGAACAAAGCCCCTAAATTCAACCGTATTGGGCTCAAAAGGCTGCTTTCAGGGACGTTGGGCTAAAACAAGGGCCTTAACAGTTAGAATAGGGCTTTGGGGGCCCACTATACTATAATTAGTTAAAGTAAGGAACCCCCGGAAAGAGTGTAGGTAATTTTTAAGGCCCCTATAGTAGGCCTCCCCGGAGCCGTAGAAGTCCTGCACACAGCTGCGGTAGATTGCAAGGCTTCGGGGCTTTTTTGAGGCTTGTAAGCTTTTCTGTGATTTTTAGAGTTTGAGGGCCTTTAGGTTTGCAGGGAGTTTGGGTTTTAGGCAGGATGCGCAGTCTGATGAGGGCTGATTCAACTACGGCTCACTTAAACGACTTGAACCAGGTTTGGTAGATCTCCATAGGTTCTGCACGGGTTAACAGGCCAAGTCGTGCTCTTCGAACATGGCGGTTCCGACAACATTAGGGATGACAGCAGTGCGATTCGCAGCATCACCATGCAGCGATGACAGCGGCAGTGAGCTTGATTACCGTTTAGCCTCGTTATGAGTACTTCCGGCAGAACAATATGTCTGTGTAACAACAGCGACAGCACGAGTGCCAACCATGATCCGAGTAGTAAGCTGCAACAAGTCAGAAGAGCAACAACGACACCACCAAGAACTGGAAAGCGTGCTACCGCTAGCATGACTACTCCATTACAGTATTCATGTCCACTAGCCGGTGTATCGGTGGCTACCGATAACTGTTGCTCCTACTGGCTGGTTTTCTTAGAACTTAAGGCGAACAATTGGTGCTTGCCATCCCTTAGCAGTATTTGTCTCCATCGTGTGGCACAGCGGCTTCTTGTTGATCTCGGCCGAATGCTGTTGTTGTTGTTGTTGTTCCAGCCGGTGACGGCCAGCATGATCGGCATAAATGATCGTAGTATTGAAGGCGCTGCTGGCTTGGTTTGTTTGCTGCTGGCCGTGGCCGTAGGTGCCGGTCGGCTTGGTAACGACGTTGCCGCGGCAGCTGTCGCGGTCGTGGTTGCTGTTCTCTTGGTGTTCTGATCTTGCTGTCGTGTTTCATTCGCCAGTCATAGGACAGCAACACCAAGACATGTTCGCGGTTCGCATCTACAAAGACGCAGGAAGTGCAGCTGCCAGCCTGGGCACTGACACATCGCCCCAAACTTAATCCCATGCGTTCTATCTATCTATCTATCTATATATATATATATAAGCCATTATAAGCCTGAATCTGTACAGTATATAAAATAATCTGCAACTGAAGGCCCAAAACGAACGAAGCCAAGCTCCTCGGCAGACATCAGGCGCGATACATCAGGAGCTTGGTCGTTTCCATCCTGCACAGCACAGAGAACCGCTGTGACAGTGAAGACATGCGGCAAGTAGTTCCGTATTATGGATAGCACTCCTGCAAGCATAAGCAGTCATGCGACAATGCCACGTGACAGCTGCACCAATGATGATGGCAAAAGAGCTGCTTTTGACAACGAAGCTAGCGATACCAACGATAAGAAGGGTTTGCAGGATTGATGACGGGTGGTGATCATGTTCGTCGCCATCATCGTCATCGTATTGGTACCATCATGTTCCTCACAGTTCGCATGAAAGCCGAAGGGCCACTCAGTATCATAAAGTATCCTAACCAACAAGCCCCAAAGGCCTAAGCCGGAAACCAGACCAAAAACAGGAAGTTACAGAAACCAACTTAGCGATCTCCTTGGCCCTGAGGAGAACTGGCACGTTCTCGTCTTGCTCAAGCTCCCAATGGCCGCTGCCGCTCCTCCCATCTTCCATGAGCTTGAATCAGACAGCAATATGTCTGGCCTAGTATGATTCAAATTAAAATACAAGGGTACAACATAATAACATAATATACTATATTACATGAAGCCAGATGCATCAGATAAGCGTGTAGTAACAGCGTGCAATAACTTGCGCTGGCAGCACAGCAATGCATGCTGGCTTCTAAAGCATTGACAGAACTCTTACAAATGAACCGACGAAGCAGTGATTGCTAGTGAAAAATATGTGCACGACAGGGCATCTGCACAATACTCCTCGCCGAACATATGTCTGTAAAAGCATCAATACATACATGCGTTTGAACCTGTTACGGTGTAGCATACTAAGAGCTGCCATGCAAAAGCATGTGAGATGGATTGTAAAGGATAAGTTCGGTTCTACATGCGGGCAGGGTACTTCTAAGCTGTGCACGCTCTATATATCTGTATGCAGGGTACACATTGACACGTTGGTTCTATTCGCTTTACGATGCTTATTGCAATACCGTCTCTAAGTCAGCCAAGACATCACTCCGAGACATCTAGCACGGAGGTCATATGAACCGATTAACAGGATTCCTGTATTTCCTGAAAGAAGGATCAATACAAAGAAGCCGGGCTTCAAAAATGTGAATAACCTTAGAGCCCTGATGAAAAAACACATGGTATACCGCACCAAACACTCTATTGAATAGAAGCATTGAACAATTAGAGTTTTTTCTTTAGGGGTCCACATTGTACGACCCCGCCCTCATCTGCAGTGTAAACAGACTGTGCCTTCTGGGCGCGGACTGGCCCGCAACAACGTAGGCATTGCGCTGAGCCTCCTCCATCCTCGGCTTACGCTTTTGATTTAGGGTGTGGCATTAAGTTTAGGGGTTTAGAGTCAGGATTCGCACAAGTTGATATGGGATTTCCATGTCAATTTTGGTAGGTGTACATTTGGGTGCGGGGTTATAGGGTTTAGGGCTTGAAGTTCAAGGCGTGTTCAGCAAACACAGATTTTGAGTGCAGTAAACACCACCCAGCCACTGCTCTCATATAATTAGGGGCCTTACCAATTAGAATAGGGTTCTGGGGCCCATGACACTATAGTATAGTTACTATAGTTTTTAATAAGGAACCCCCAAAATAGTATACGTAATTGATTATTACGGCCCCTATATTAAGCTTTCTTCTGACAAAGCCTTGTGGAGGCCGCACTCCGGGCTTCCGCCGCGCAAACGGCTTTGCGAAAGGGGTCGCCCTAAACAACGAATCATGAGCCGTTCCTTTTTTCATAAACAACGCTGTCCCCTCCAAAACCCTATTCCAGCATCCGGTGTGCGAGCCGGTGTCTGAGGGATTGACGAGGATTCTCAGACCGCGGACAACATAGCTGGCTTGCAGCCCAAAAATGCCAGTGCTGAGGTCTGTGCTCATCAGGGGGATAGGCCTCTGAGCAGTTTGCAGCTTTGCATGATCGATGTAACAAAAAGACTTCGGCTGGCTGCTGAGCTGCTGGCACAGAAATGGATCTCGCAGAAACTGGGCCTGAGACTCACGAGCTGTGTCCGGCCAAAGCCATGGATGATTGGAGCCTTCTGGCATTCTGAGAGTTTCCGAAACTTAGGGGTACCTTATTTTGGGGATACTTAATAAGGATCCGACTATTTAGGGTACCAAAAAGGGTGGCCCTATACACTTCCGTTACTGGCCCTTGCTGGGAGCCGGGCATCTCCAGGCAAAGCAGCAAGCCTTTGAGGCTCTCCAGAAACCTCTCCCGGCTCAGCCTCAGCACAAGCTACTCGGAGGATTACGGGACTTAGTAAGGGTTCTGAAAAGGGCCCCTATATAGGGTTCCTTAAAGGGATCTATAGGGTTTAGGGTCTACTTTGGGGGGATCAGGGGACTTAGTAAGTTAGGTTATAAGTACCTTATTGGGGTTATGAGCACTTAACAGCATGGTTACCTTAGTTATAACCCTAGTTACCAAGACCCATGATCCTTCAAGTACCTTAAACCCTATAGATCCCTTACAGGAACCCTTTAAGGAACCCTTTAAAGTTACCAAGTCCCATGATCCTTCAAGTAGCGGCGCCCGGCGGGAATCTTCGGAAGCTCCGAGCACCGACTCAGGTCTCGACTCTGACTGCGGATTGTGGTGCTCCTCCATTCAAAGTGGAAAAGGAGGGACCCTTAATGGGGACCCCTACCCTATAATGGGCTATATAATGGGTATATACTGCCTATATTAAGGATCCACGGCAGCATGGCAGTTGTTGTAGGGGCCTTCATAATTAGAACAGGGTTTTGGGGCACATTATACTGTAATTATAATAATATGGAAGCCCCAAAATAGTATATATTGGTAATTATTGAGGCCTTACATCATAGTACCCTTCTAGTAGCCCTTATAGACCCTTTATAATGCTCTTACAAGGAACCCTACATTACAGAAAATGAAGATCACGACCTGGGCTCTTGCCCGACCTCCTGCGACTGCGCCCAGCGGACGTAGCTGGCGACGGCATCAACCTTGGGAGCAGGTCAGCTGATACTAGGGGCCTTAATAATAGTTACCAATACGGTTCAGGGGGCTTCGTCAGAAGAAAGCTTAATATAGGGGCCTTAATCATTACCGATGCTATTTTGGGGGTTCCTTGTTATCATTATAGTATTATGGGCCCCAAAACCCTATTCTAATTATGAAGGCCCGCAAATTAGGACAGCAATGATTGCCACTGCTCCTCATGAGAGGCAGGATGCTTCAAGCGAGAACACCAAAGACAGAAACCCGCTAGCGCTCTGCGGATACTGTACCTTCTTTGTGGTCCCCGACGGCAAAGCTCTGCCAGAAGGTCAAGAAGACGATGCAGTGAAGGCTGCAGAACTTCAGGGCCTTCCCATGTTGGAGCAAAGCCTATGCTTCGCTTTGCATTACTCTACGACTCTCAGAAGATTACTGTTCAGCTGCCAGCTCTACGGAGGGCTCAGGTGCAAGCCGGGTTCAACTTCAAGAACTTCTCCAGGTGAGGCCGGGTCTCACCTCGAGCTGCCCCGAGCCACCCTTCCCACTCCCCCAGCTTCCCTGAGGCGTCGGCGCTGGAGGAGTACCAGATGGTACATCGCACAGAGGCAGCTGACTCCCTTGAGCAAGGGTGGCCTCGACATGAGTGAAGCCATGACTCTTGCGATTCTGAGCCTCGTCACAAGTATGTGGGAAACTCGGGTTGAATCGCCTCTTTGGACTTATGAGATTCCGCTGGCGATACACCGAACATCCTCACATCCAAGGCAGCTTCTTGATATCATGCAGTTGGCTCCTGTCGGTCCCTTGACTTAGAGTTGTTTGCTATTGCAGCAAAGCGCAGTGCATCAGCATTTCGTACTGTCGCTTGATGCTCGCTGATGCTGATGCTTGCTTCTGCTGTAGTGCCGGGGCTTTGCTGCCGTATCTTGTAGTCGTCTGCGAATAGACTATCATGTTCGTACATGACTGTTTGTGCGAATTGCGCACTCCACTGTGCAATATAACGCACTACACTGCTATCCGCTGTTTCGGATGGCAGCTTCAGAAATTAAAGCATCCTGATATACCTGAAGCCCAAGAACCGTAAAACCCGAAGCCATAAACCCTGGACCCCAAAGCGCTGAAGATCGAAAAGCAAGCGCCAGACAGCGCATGGAGGTGGAGAAGGCCGCGATGTAATCGGGCCAAATCCGGATCCTTGTAACGCCATCACGGATTATTGAATTATTGCGGTTGCGTTCAAGGTAAAGGGTGTTCTAGTGATGGTGCGAGCGCAGCAGGCACGCCCGCGCCAAAACCGAGATCGTGCTCCCGCCGCAGCTCCCTTGCATTCATGCCATACTTCTTGCTATCAGTACTTCTGTCACTAGTATCTACGTCTTTGCTCTTGTTAATTACTCATGACGACGACGCTGCTGATTCTTGACATGAAGGCTGTTACTGTTGCCATTATTAACTAGACTGTAGATATTGTTCATAACGCTATTGCAGTCAACAGATACGGCCGTTGGTAACACTATGACTTCTGACACCGATCATCTTGCCAGTACCATGCTACGTACTTGTTAGAATGATTAGCCGATTGCTGATCACGCTGCCGTGGATTCTAATCGTCATGATGTGCCACAGCTGGTATGATTTTACCTTGGGTTTGCAGCCGAGTGGAGACACCTGCAAGATAGAGAGGCGCAGTGATGGAAAAGTATGCAAGGGCAAGACGGAAACAGATCTTGGTACTCGAATGCAGATAAAGGCACGGACAGTGGTCGAGACAAACAGAGGGAGATGGAGCTGGACAAACTACTTGGTGGATGGCCTGACCAAAAAAAAGGATGTACACACACGCACACACGTAGACAAGCAAATTCAACGATGTGCATTCTACATACTCCCCGGAGTGGACACAGAAGTTATCCCAAGCCATGGGCGGGATCCGTTTGAACCCGTCACAGCCAGAGATACTCTGTGTAACCCTGCTTGAGATGCAGAATCTCATGGAACCGCTACGAGTACATGAGCTTCAACCTCTTCGGGTCAGTGCACTGTCGTCTGTAGGGGCATCTTTCTGATTCCCATGAAGGATGGCCGTTGTTCGTTCGGGTCCTTCAGAGAGCGCCACACGATGGTTGTCATCAGGAAGAGACATGGCCTCGGCCAGCAAGGCTTCGACTTGGCTCTGAGGTTAAGCGCTTTGCAGGTTCAGGTACTAGGTATACTCTATAGGTATCGGGGGTCCTTAGGAGTTTCGGGCTCCTGGGGGGGTTTCGGGTTCAACCGGGATGCTTGGGGTCTGGAGGCTTCAAGATTTGGTCTCTGGGTTGGGGTATGCGGAGGTACAGTGCTTCACTTGTGGCTTTTTTGCGGGGATTGGAATTTGGGGACATGTCGGCTAAGTAGCAGCGGGTGGCCCACGAGCTTGGCAACGCGAAGCCTTGTTTCCCTAAGCTCCGAGGCCCCAGACCCTCCACCTACCATAGGGCTGCAGGGTCCGTGAATGGCAACTAATTAACTGGCCGTAATGACTTGGACGGGTTTTGGGTGAGATTAGAAAGGGATAGTATGCCCAATTCCTGCATCTCTCCCCAACAAAAAAAAGCTGCGGGCTCTCCGTGGCAGCACTGGGATGCCTACGTGACGAGGGAGTACTGCAGGATGCTGATCTGAGTTTGAAGGCTTTGGGGTTCAGGCTGGTCAGGGTTTGGCTTAGAGCCTAGAGTTTAGGTTTCTGGTATGTTCTGGTGCTTTCCAGCCTGGGGTTCTAAAAACTTTTGGGCCATCGATTCGGGTGGTTGTGTTTCGCGGCCGAGCTTACATACTTCAAGCTTCGTCGTTCGTCGTTTTGTGCATTTTGAACCTGCTCAGCGGGCCCTGATGTGGAGTCTGTATCTTCACCTAAGACCGGCGGACCGGGTCAAAGCGGACGCCGCGAAGCGTTTACAACAACATAGTATAATACAATAGAGCATAACAACCACATTGCTACTATGATGCTATGATACACATGTATAACCTAGAAAGTCTGGTAGGAAGCTTTGGATTCGGGTCTCAGGGTCTGGGATCCATGCTGGTGGGCCATGGGCTTTCGGAGTCGGGCGTTCATGCCTGGATTCTCGAGAATCTCGTGGCGCAGGGGCCAATCGGGCAAGTCGGAGATTCCACACAACATGATGTTTAGGGTTTAGGGTTTGGGGTTTAGGGTATATATAGTCCTAGCTTTATTGTCTGATGTCGCTTACAGCGCCCAGGACATGAATTGCATAGAATGCCTAGTGGAACACTTACCCGGAGCTCCACACCGGTGACCTGAAGCGTTGAACCACGTCTTCGAAAGCCAAGTGTTCTAGCATCCGATAATTGCGCAGGAAGAGCCCTCAAAAACGATTGTAACATAGAGGCCTCAGTAATTAGAATATAGGGCTTGGGCTTGAATATTATACTATGGTTATAATAAGGAACCCCCCAAACTATGTCTACGTGTCTCAAAGGCCCATCCAAATTCGGCTTCCAGCTCGAAGTCCTTCGCAGCTCCCAAAAGCTAGGCAGGCCAGAATGACGAGGGGTTTCAGTTGCTACGGCAACTGTCGCAAGACTCCGTCTTGTGCTGGGAGCTTCAGAACACAAGCGACACCAATGTAGGCCCTAAATAAACGGATCCATACTGTAACGCAAGGACCCCAAACCAGGTAACCCCAATTCTTTATCAGAAACGCCCATTTCCCGGAGGCCCCAGCGTGAGACAGAATGCTTGGGGCTCCCGGCGATGACCTTGGAGACAAAGCTCGGCCCCGGTCGATACCTCGGCACAGGCAAGTCTTTGTGTGCGTGCCGTGCTGCCTGAGATAGAAAGAACAGCAGGGTCCTCATTTGAGGTCCCCAACAGTACGGCACCCGGGCCCGGTCCCCACAGGATCTCGATTCATAGAACTACAAATTGTCGTGTAACGCTCTGAAGTTCCGATCTCTGTGCGGAGCTCCGACTGCTGCCCTGCTGAGGAAGCCACGGAGGTACGCAGAACCTCGGTGGGACTGCCAGGTCAACAGGAAAACACCGCAACCCTTCAGGCCCAAATGCCTTAAGCCTTAAGCAAACTAAACACCTGAAGCGGTCGTCATGACTCATGATTGGCTAAGGCTCAAACTGCAGAAGACCCAGCTGATCCACAGGGGGCTGCTCTTGCTCCTGGAGTCCCACGGCCCGTTTGCTTCGCAGAGGTCCTACAACGCGCCGTGACTGAAGCCGGCTGCAGCTCGAGAGCTTGTCCGGTCATGCGCAATCAAGCTGCAACTGGGTTCCTGTTAAGGGACTTAACTGAAGTTACCATAATAGGTATCTATAGTAAAGAGTATGGTTCGTTACTCTTAAATTGACTTAAACTTAAGCCAAGTCCCTTAACAAGAACCCGGGCAAGTGGCAGGTCCAGAAGACTGTTGGAGAGCTGCACGGGCCCTCCGAGGAAAGAGAGCAGGAGCCTCGGTGACTTGTAGTCTTGCGATCAGCTGCGCTTAGGGTTTGGAGTTTAGTGGGGATAGGAACTAGGGTTTCGGGTCTTAGGGTTTAGGGTCTGGGGTTCTAGGGTTTAGGGTCTGGGGTTCTAGGGTAGGGTTGAGCCATTGTTACGAAACTGTCGCTCCGTACATGCGCCTCACATGCTCTAGTTCGATCCACTACAGCGGGCTACTGCTCTCTGGGGTGAAGACTGCACAAAGGAGCACACTGCCACAGCCTGTCAGATGAGTGTCGACAACAGCCGTGCAATAGGTGGGGACACTGCAACAGAGAAGCTGAGGGACAAGGAAAAAGTTGCTTTCAGTTCAGAGAGCAACGGCCAGCTCAAGCACCAGTCAACAAAATGCACAGCCTCCGCAATTTCGCGAATACAGTGCAGCAGCATCACGAAGCCGCTGTTGCTGCCCTGAGCTCGGTGCCAACTTGACACAGCTACGGAGATGCTGAAAACTTCGAGCACTCGTGCTGTTTGCTAGTCTCCCCACTCTCCCCGAATCGCGATTGCGACACAGTCACTATGGAGCCTCCAGCCAGAGGTCTATCCAAGCATCGACAGCGAAGATTGGCACGACCTGGCCGAGACCCCTTTTCGGCTTCAGGGTGAAGGGTAAGGGTTTCGAGTGTAGCTTCTTTTTGCAGGGCTCCCTCTCCTTTCTCTGTTTCGGCTTCAAGAATAAGGAGTTGGCAGAAGAGCCAGTAAGGCTCTTCACAGACACACACACACACACACACACACACACACACACACACACACGCACACACATTTTGTCTTCAATTCATCCCGAAACACTACCGGTGGTCTCCAGGCCGTGTGCAAGTATGCCTGCCTCTGTCGCTCTCTCTCCTTTCCATCCACATTCACAAAGATTGTACTCATAAACATGCACATATATACACGTCTAAACATGAACACATGTGTGTGTACCTTATACAAATAAGTAATCAAAAATTATATGATATGCAAGCTTGTGTTTGCACATACATACATACATACATACGTACATACACGTATTCGACACATACAGCCAAACAAACCAAGTGAGCAAGCAAGCAAGTATGCAGCCATGCCTACCTGCCTACCTACCCAATATGCACACATCCATGCGTACACGTCCCTCACATGCCTGTAAAACTTGCACACATGAATACACGCATGCCTACGTAGGTACATACATGCGGACACAGTACCATCACATCTACCGACAAGCGAATGCACCTTCAGGCGCATGCACACTGTGCAGATAGTGTCCGAAAGTTGCAGAGTTTCCTTCAGATACGCATGCACTCATTCTGTTACTTCTCGGTATTGTCGGCCCATGTATCGAACTATCGTCTTGCATCTACATACACAGTTTTGGCGTGGACATCTACCTATGCCAATCTGTCAACCTGTCAGGTGCTATATCTATGTTTGTGCTCAAAACTCATTGTTACGTGTGTCTATGCTTTAACACGAATAAAGTTATAGATATACTTGATAGATGAATATGTACATATATATATAGAGAGAGACAGAGAGAGAGAGAGAGAGAGAGTAGTTAAACATAAATAGTTGCAGTAGGGGAAAAGGTAATTTAGCACGTTTATCATTGCACGCCTGGATGCACACGTATAATACCAGTATATATGTCATGGCTAGACACGTGCACTGTTGCTGCTGGCACCCCGAGGATTCGAAGAGCGAAGCGCTGCAAGCCGGAGGACGCCCGCTTGCAGTGCCTGCGCAGGGGTAGGTGGGATGATTTTCGGGTCTCAGCTGAACCAGACATAAGCTGTTGAGGTTTCAGTGTCGTTCTACAACCACGGGGCATAAGGGCAATAGGCAATAAGAACCAATCTTCTGTCTCCTTGGCCGAGCTGTGCGACTTTGAGAGTTTCAGCGTTTTGGGGCCTGTCGTGGTTCGGTCTCACGGTAGGTGTTCTCGGCCCTTTGAAACGGAGCGAAAACAGGAGATGCTCCAGAGCCGCAGCTTCCCCGTTGTTAAAATCCATCGGGATCGGGAAAGCCTCAAGCAAACTAGTGTCAATGCTCAAGGCACCAACAAAATACGTTGCAGTTGCTCCCCCCTCTGAAAAATGGCACAGGTTCTTGCCGAATCTTCGAGGCAAATGCTGCAGCCAGCAAGAGGGGCCCCGAAAAGGACATCATCTTATGGCATATCCCTATCCTGATTCTTGCTTCTGTGCTTTCTTGGGGCCCTAAATGATGGATAATATCCGAAGAACCCTTACTCATAGATTCCTTACAGGAGCCCTTCTGGATCCCTTTAGAGAACCCTGACAGGCCTGTAGATCAGGATGCCCGACCGCACGACAGCATAACCTGCTCCGAGGCCGCCAAAGACCTGCGGAAGAGGTGGTCTTTTTTAAGGACCAAAAGGGCTCCTTGAAAGGACTCCATAAGTAAGTTTTGTGAGGTTACTATAAGGGTACTATAAGGGTTTTTTGGGTTGGGGGATCAGGGGTTTAGGGGCCTTCGGCTTAAGATCTGCAGTCTTTCATCCTTTCAGCGCTTCAAGGAGAGCCCATAAGCATGGCTTTAGGGTCAGGGTTTCGATTTTCTTTGACGGGCCCTCTTCCAACTCACATAGCTAGCTTCAACTTAGAAGCCTCGCACTTGGGTTTCGGATTTTGAAAATAGAAACTTAGGACGTTAGAAGGCATGCTGGATGGGCTGAAACGCAGAATCATAATCATGATCATCACCGGCCCTAAAGAGCATGTTTGCTCTCACGGCTATTAGCAACAAGATGGTGCTCATGCACACGCCACTTGGTTCCTCGGGATCATCACGATTGTCCATCGCTGTCGCCAGCAGTGCCATCATCATTGCCTTAACCCTCACCATCACCAGAATCACCATCATCGTCATCATTGACGTTATGGACTCAACATTTCGGGTCTCTGTGTCATCATCAACAGCAGCAGTCGCGTCGCAACTCCATTTCCCCAATCTAACGTTCATATCCGCGGGCTGCATTCCGGCCACCTGCTCCGTGTGGTAGATCTGGAAGACCTGAACGTGTAACATGTCTTCTCATGCATCAAGCAAGTGACCCCACTTTCTGCACCCTTCGAACGCAAACTGGCACGGATGCCATGCAAGCATTGGGGAGTTCTGCGGCCGCGCCTTCCTCTCCACCAGGAGCTTCAGAACGAAAATTAGAAGCACCTGATCCGACTCGGGGATTTCAGCGCTCATATTACCGCAGGTGGCGGCCTTACGGTGTCGCGCTTGTTTCTGGCAGGCAAAACCACATCAGGTCCCGGCGGCGCCCAGCACGCCGGCGATGACCTGAACCCAGCCGACACACCTGACGTGACGTTGTTCAAGTCGTGAGCTCACTCAAGCAACTCATATTCGATTAAGCGGTCTTGATGATTCCAGGGATGTGCTATAACAGCGCTACTGATATCAACAGCGTTTGGGGATACATCATGCGATACGAAAAAGCACGAACCCCCGAGTGCGCAGTGCCGTCCTCAGCAAGCCATGTCCTAGGCAGAACAGGCTTTACTTCGGACCTTCAAGCATCGGCAGGTCGAGTCATGTGCACACAAAGCAAACAGCAGCTGAACACTATGAAGTATACTCGACCTGGTGTCGTTCCCACCCCATGTCCGCATGCACTTTGTGCCCCCGACTCATCGAAGTCATGTGACCATTCTTGCACTGTAGTGTATACACCACTCATGTTGGAAACAACACACAATCAAGAAGCAAGTCTACAATAGATCGGCTCACGACTCAGCCAGCATCAGGCTTGGGGCCACGCGGTCTGGCGCTCTTCGATGTCGATCGCTCCTGAGCAGACCGCCAAGCACCAGCATGTGGCTGGTTGTCAAAATTATAGTACCTTTTTGGGTCCTTAGGATAATACGGCTTCTAATATTTAGGGTATCCAAAAAGGGGACCATAATTTTGACAACTACCCATGTGTAGGTGAGCAGCATGAGAAGATCAAAGTCCCTCTCCCTCCGCGGCCTCCTCAGAGCCTTCGCCTCCGACCAAACAGTACCAGTTGAAGGGCCCAACCTGCGGCCGAAAAAACACGCAGCACATTATGCCGTCCACGACCGATAAGACGAGACACAGTCGCGTCGTGATATCTTACCTACGAGTCCGAATGAACAAAACATGGCGTCAAACACACGGACACGACAATAGTGCTGCATGGAGCACACTTCCCGCACGGGCCCATGACCGCACTCTTATCTCCCAACCATCGTCGTACTGCAGCAAGAATGGACAGGTGCGGCGCTTCACGGACATGAAGGCGCAAGCCACAAATGCCGAACATGTGGAAACTCATAGCGGAATGGAAGTTGGATGCGGCCTTGATCGCACACCAGGGCACTCTGAAGCGCGGCCTGAGGAAGTCTCCGCTCCGACTCTGCACTGGCGTCCGCCCGGGGCACTCGGCCGACCCTACCATACCATGTGCGGCTAATCCCGTTTGACCAACATCTCTGCTGCAGTAGTAGCAGGAGTAGTAGCAGTAGTAGTAGTAGTAGTAGTAGTAGTAGTAGTAGTAGTAGTACTACAACCGATGAACTTCCTCTCACTGGGATCCCATGGACAGGAGCTTGGATGCAACTGGGCAAAAGGCGAGTCCATATCTCCATTGCACCGACGCTGGCGCTGGCCACTAGGACTTCCCGGGTGGTTCTTACTCTAATGTAGGGGCCTTAATAATTAGAATAGGGTTTGGGGCCCCTTTATACTATAATAAATAAAGACAATAAGGAACCCCAAAATAGTATATAGGTAATTATTGTTGAATACCCTAACTTATAGCCGCTGTCGAAGCACACCGAATAATTGAGGCTGGCATGGCCGGGGCTTTTCTGTCTCATGGTGGGTCTTAAAAACGGCGTCTGTGCTTGAACTGTTCTAGCCGTTCAATGCGCGGAATCTAACAGTCCGTGACTGGGTTGCCTCGAATCGCCGTGAGAACTTGACCGAGCCAAGAAAAGCAGGTATGACGTCACTGCGACGAAATCACATAACCCTGAACCCATTTACCCGAACCCATAAACCTAAATCCTGGACCCGAAATCCTAAAGCCACAGCCCCCAAACCCTCAGTCCCTCATCCGGGGAAGTTTGGTGAAGCGCTTCTCAAGGTCAGGGCGCTCCCCAAGCTAGACCCTAAACCCTGAAATCCGGCCCTAATATAGGGGCCTTGATGATTGGAATGGGGCTTTGCAGGTTCCTTCTTAGAAATATAGTAGTAATATACCCCCAAACCCTATTCTGATTATGAAGGTCCTACGTTAAACAAACCTCAACCCTCCCAAAAGACTCAAATCCCAGCTCGCGCCGGGTCCTTGAGGCCGGAGTGGGCAGTCACCTCGTCGGGGCCGATACTCAGCCCAAGCTGTTCCATGGATACGGGATGATACGGCTAGGGCTCATAGGGTTTAGGGCTAAAACAGCAACTTATACCCTGAATGCCCACGATGAAGGACCATAAGGGCTCTATTGAGGGGCACTTGGGGGGTCCTGGAACAGGACAATTCCAAACACGTGCAACAGGAATGGTAGCTCTTGCTCTCACAGAGCTTCTGCACTGGCCTCTTCTACCCGAACCCTGAAGAGCTCCCCAAAGGTCTTCGGTGTCGCTGTACTCCCTGTGACCGAGCTTTTCAATAACCGTAATGATAATACTCATAACCTTAATAACCGTAACTAGAATAATTACCAGAATAACAAGAATAACCATAATAATAGTAATAACCATCAAAATAACAATAATCCTAACAGTAACCCGAATAACAATCATCATCAGGAAAATAATATCAATCCTGGAAGCCAAAAATTGAGCGCCGCGCCTCAAGCGACTGGCCCGAGTCCCAGAGCTGCAGATTCACCTCGAGCCCTGGGCATTCGGTGGAGGACTTGGCTTGTGGGCTCGCTTGCTTGCTTGCTTGCAAGGCGTTTGGGAGGTGGGGCTCGGGTCCCCACTCCCCCTCCGCGCGAGCGCTACGCCGGGGCTCTCTCTCTCTCTCTCTCTCTCTCTCTCTCTCTCTCTCTCTCTCTGTGTCTCTCTCTCTCTCTCTCTCTCTGTCTCTCTCTCTCTCTCTCTCTCTCTCTCTCTCTCTCTCTATATATATATATATATATATATATATATTTTTTTTTTTTTTAGAATGAGTTTTATAATATACACACACATATTTTTATGAATATATGTACGTGTATAATATATATATATATATATATATATATATGCATATTTTATCACAGCTTGGGGGTACGTACTATGATGTACGATGATTACAAGACCATGATGGCATTGGCTTCCGGAAGATCTCTCCGCTTGGGGGCGGTTTGGGGCCTATTTCTGCACTGCAGCAACCAAACAACCCCAAAACCCTAAACCTTTCACCCCTAAACCCTTGCCTGGAAAAAGTCACTGACAGAACGGTCCTACACCGGAGCTCCGAAGAGGAATGCACCTTCTTTGCTGTATTCTGGGATCACTCTTATTCATGTTTATGGCTTCTTGCTACTATCATTGGTATTAGTATTGCTACCAAAAAATTGCTGTTCTTGCCAGTAGTATAACTGTGTGACTATGTGCAATGACTTTTCTTATCAGTATCGATACTTAGTTGTAACTACTATGCTAAGCTGCACCCAGGAGCAACCTGGGTTCTGAGCTCTCGGCGATCGAGCTCCGCAGGCATCAGGACGGTGTAGTTCTGCAAGAGATTGGGTGGTTCGGCTCATATTATGACGGCAGTTTAGGGTTTGGGATGGTTTGGGGCTCATTATTTGGGGAGTTTAGGGTCTATGCGGCTAAGCGAGAGCCCCCATCCCGAGTCTCCATCCAAAGAGCCGCCCCCCAGCCGGTCCCCGTTGTGTGGCGTAAAGCTCGGCTGTGACTCGTCGACGCCCGGAAACGTCAAGTCTCGAAGGAGGACCTGGCGTTCGAACTTCGACTCTGTTGGGTCTAGGGTTCAGGAGCTCCATGAATTCGGCCCCTGCCGCCCTCCAATCCCAAGTTGAACAGTGCCATGCTTCTGTGTTGAAACTGGCAGCTCGCGGCTAGACCAAGCCGAGCATTGGGCCTCCTCACCGCTGTGCCGCATGATCTGCACCGAGTAGGTCGTGAGGCCCTGGCGAGCTCAACGACTCAGAAGAAACCCCGCTCGGGAATGCAATGGCGAGGAAGAACCTCACTGAAAGGAACAGCCGGAAAGTTCAGCCCTCATCCCCAACCCTCGTTCCCTCAACCCGACGTCAAGCTCTTTAACTCTTCAACATCTGCTTCCTTGTCAGCCTCAAACAAATCCCCAACCCCAACCCCTAGATCGGGGCCCAAGGCCCTGAAGGACTCAACGCAAGCCCTGGGAAGCTCGAGGCTTTGAAGCCCCGAAACCCCCCCAGACGAAGGCGTACCGAGCCGTCGGACATCCGAACGTCCAGGTTGTTTCGCACTTCGCCGCCTCACAGCCGCTTTCTGTTTAGTGTCTTTTGGGCTTCGGGCTCGGGCACCGGAATTCCGAGTGCGTCGCCCAAGCTGTTGTCGGTCACTTCTAACAGGCCCTAATATAGGGCCTTAATAGTTAGAATAGGGTCTTGGGGTATATTAATGCTCTACTTTTAGCAACCCCCAAAATGGTATAGGATAACTATCTAGGTCCCTGTGGTAGTTGCGCTTGGGGTGCATAATACGAACCGGACTGTACTTCTCGGGATCTGGAGTTGAAGCCGCGGCGCTTCTAGAGCTCGAGGCTGTAACTTTGGAAGTTTCCGAAAATGGGGGGGGTACCTTTAATGGGAACCACAAGGGTTCCTTAAAGGGATCTATAAGTCTATAAGGTTCTATAAAGGGTTTAGGGTTTGGGAGCTTCCGAAAATGAGGGGTACCTTGTTTCGGGGTCCTTAGAATAAGGATCCTACTATTTAGGGTACCTCATGAGGGTCCGCTATTCTCGGAAAGTCCCATATATCATTTGGGAAAGTTTTTTTTGTTTGACGCCCCTTATCCGTGTTTGGGAAAGTTTTGAGGGTTTGTACAGATGGAGGTCTGTTTGGTGTTTGGAGGATTTGTCATTCTCGCCCATGGAAGCAACTACACCACAACAGCACAAACAAAGCAGCGACAGCACGACAGCAGCAACAACGAAAACGCATTCATGAACATGCTGGATGCGCGGCTAACCACCACGAATGACGGTGGCTTGAATAATCTGAACATGAGGTTGAGGGTCGAAAAGGCCTGGCTCGACCAACTTCGTGGAGGAGAACTCATCCGCATTGGCAAACTCGGAACCCTGCACAGTCGGGCTGCAATGCTCAGGACTGTGTAGCGGCCATGGTTTAGGGATCAGAAAAACATGACGCACCATGTGAACCCCAAGTATAAGGTTGCCTGAGGGTATTAGATACGCTATACGTCTTCTTCAACGAAAAAGCTCAAAGTGTCTATTGTAAACTACAGACTTACTATACACCAAACTTATAAGGCTAAGAAGGCTTAAACTTCGACCATTGGCTATCCGAGATCCCCAACTATAAGGGAACTAGACTATCATAGTACCCTCACAGTACCTTTATTCGGGGCACTGTGCTACAAGCCTCTGCGGGGACGGCGTCGATAGCGAAGCCAGGCTCGGCAAACTCTAGCTCCGCACGATACACATCGTGCCTCATGTGATTCGTGTTTATGGCCTAGGGTCCGTTTAGGGGATTAGGGCTTGAGGTCCAGAAGCGGGGCTGGAGTTTTAGGGTTGCTGAGAGTTTTAACGACACAGAATTGCGACGGAAAGTCCCCACCATAAGAACTGTGATGCTGATTGGCGATAAGTTGTAGGAGTGATACTGGTCAGTAGTCACATCACCACAACCACACAAAGCCTGACGATAGAAATGATGTTCGCAACACTAGACAGACAGAACACTTCTGAGGACACGGCGTTGGATGGAACGCTGGAAGTAAAGCAACAGGACGATCATTGCACCTGCAATGCAAGTCTGCCATTGATTGTTGCAGCTTTGCAGTATCCTTCAAACACTGTGACTATGAAATTGCTACAGTTTGCTGATGCTTTGCATAGTGAAATGCACAGAACCCCAAAGGCCTCACAGCGAGATACCGGAGCTGAGGCGCCTCAGCCGCACCTGGCTACCAAGGGCTGGCCGCTCTCCAAGAACGTCTGGAATATGTTTAGAATTTACTGCTTAGGGGTTTAGGGGGTTTAGGGCTTGCTTTGAGATCATGAGGGAGGTTTTGGACAGAATCGCTAAGATAATTCTCGCTGCGAATTTCTCTGACCTCAAATCTTGAAAAACATGCCAAAGTCCACGACTTCTTGCAGTGACAGACCAGTTTTCGCGGCCAAGACGCGCACGTGGTGGAGACACGTTGCAGGTGCATGTGAGGCACGATTGCAGGGGCTACCTCAACAAGGGCTTCCTCACCACGAACCGCGCCATGCACATGTAGTGCTTCGCGACTCAAAAATTATCCTGGCAGGTGCAGGATGTAGATCCCAATGTCTTTATCAGAACTTTGCTTCAACTTCAAGTGCACCTGTGCCACAGAGACTGCGCTGACACCAAAGTCATTCTCGGGACCGACCAAAACATGAAGCAGCTTTTTGTAGCCCTCTTTGTGAATACAACGCGCCATGCCCACGTTGTCGGTGTTTTCACAAACAGCGGTGACCCATTTGCTCCACCAGAGAAACTCATCTGCACCGCCTCAGGGATGTTTCAAGAATTCCAAAATACTGCAAGCAATCCGATCTCCCACAAAACCTCCAAAGAATGATGGGAATAAAGAGAGGTCAAGTCCGGTCCAAGTATGCAAGCCAAGTCAACCGAGTTGACTACCTTAACGTGTTCCTGCTCAATTTCTTACTAACCGACGGATGATCAGCTTGTTACAATGTTTCTTTGTAAAAGATTGTAATCAGAATATACAATCAATGCTGTCCTCACTCGTCTTCAAAACCTGGCCTGTCGAGCCCCAAACCTCAGTTAGTGTCTCATCCGTGGCAGTGCTCTTTCTGAAGGGAAGTGGCGAGGGCCCATCAGGCTGCACAGGATCGGGAAGATCCGACAACAGACCGGAACCCGCTACCTTCATGGTTGAGGATTTAGGGTTCATGTTTATGGGGGCTAAACAGGAAAAGCATCTGACTTACAAACACATAGAAAAATTTCGCCGTTGCAATATACAAGATACAAGAGTGATCTCAATGTCTTTGGCCGGCCACCGGATATGAACTTTGCGATACATGGACGCGGTGCTATTGCCCGAAACACCAGCGCGGGAAATTGACACGAGCAACGTTATCCCGCCGGTGACACGCAAATTGCTCTGCGAGTGGATGCAATGCGACATTGCATCTTTGACTTCAGAATAGCACTCCTCCGTGATCTGGGTAAGCTCGCTCGCGAGCTCTGGTGGCAGGTTGGGGCTACTCACATCTGGCCCATCTCCTTCTTCAACGGGGGTACTGGCTGCAAGCCGCTGAGTGAGTGAAGCCTCCTTTGGATTCGCGCGCTGGTCACGAACTGCTGAGCAAGCAGTAAAAAGCAAAGCCGCCGCGAAAAGCATGATGGATTGAACAGCCTACTGCTCAGGTTTGTATCGAGCTGATCGTACATCGAACAGCTTGACCCGCACAGCTGCATGCGCATGTGGGAGTTTCCGTCAGTGGGGGACCCTCAAACTGCCCGCATGGAACCGTCACTCGAAGAACCCCGGAACAAGAAATCTCTTCTGCGAGGAACCCTCCGTATGCTGGACAACGAGATTCGGAGCACAATCTCCAGCAAATGCGTGCCAAGTGCCCTGCACTCTCCCCAGCCTTGGACGCTGCGAACCAGGGCAACATGTGCAAGAGCCTCTTCAGGAGCAGGACCATGCGCTGCATGTTCCCTACCCACCCCATGCAGCCAGACGGGAAGCGGTTTCGGAGCAGTACGCAGAGGCCTGGAGCCAGAGTCCTGCTGCCGCTGAGGCGGGACCGGAAAAATGCAGGTTACTTCCCGGTGCCTTGGGCATCCCGGAGGTAAGAGGCATCTCCGTCTACGTTAGTAAATGATAGCAGGCCGCAGTTGGCGCAACCTGCCGCTAATCCTCCGGAGCTCACTGCTCCGGGTGTAAAGACATAAATGCGGCAAAGCTGAAGGAGACAGAATGTCCAAGCACCCAACACAACTGTAAAGGGCAAGTCGGCAACAAAGGTACCACTATAACTAGAATAACTACAATAATCGTCTATATCTGTTTATATCTGTGATAACTGTAGTAGTAACTATATCAGATACAACTCGCAACGCCCGAGCCCGGAGGCTACCTCGGAAAAGGGCGCGAGCCTCGCGTTAGCATTGTCTTCGTTAACACTCCGGGCTCGGCAGAGCCCGGGAGGCGGCAGCTCGCAAAGCGCTGCTTGAATCCGAGGGAGTTTTGGAAAGCGGCAATCCTGACTCAACTTTAGACGAAAACTTAAAACGTAGGCTCCTGATGTCAGGACGGCATGAAATTCCCAAAAGGATACCCACTGGTTTCAGAAGCTCCCACTTCTGGCCAACCGCAGCTTCAAGCGCGGAGCCTCTGGGTAAGCTATAGAAAACTGGGAAAAGCAAGCGCTCAGAGCTGGTATCTGCATCTAGCTGCTGGCTGTGGGTGAAATTGACTGGATGAGAAGCTCTATCATCATATGGGAGTTGAAAATTAGGGGTAACTTATTTTGGGACCCTTATACTAAGGATCCTACTATTTAGGGCACTATATTCGGGTCCCCCATTTTCGAAAACTCCCATATATGTAGCATCCTGGTTCATTCAGCCGTGTCTTGCGAAAGGATGCTCAGATCCCAGGCTAAAAGATGCAGTCACCTGCTTCGAGCATCCCCGCTTGGCGGTTCATGGGTATTTATAAGGGTTCCTTTAAGGGTCCCTTTAAAGGGATCTACAGGGATTCTGTAAGGGTATAGGGTTTAGGGTCTAGTTGGAGGTTCATGGGGAAAAAGTGGGGTTATCCCAAATATGGGTTGTAATTATAGTTACCCTACTGTACCCATGCCCCTGCTTAGAACTACCCATGAACCTCCAAGCAAGCTTACCCAAGCAACCCGAACTTGTCGAGGGTGCCAAGTAGGAGAGGCAGCGCGAAGAGAAATCGCTACATATGGGTACTTATCAAAATTAGGGTCCCTTGTTGGGTTCCTATTGTAATAAGGCACCTAATATAGGGTACTCAAAAAGGGACCATAATTTTGACAACTACCGAAAAAGCAGCTTAGGCCAGGGATCCCTCGCCATGTCGTGAAGACGAAGTAACCTTAACCCTCCAAGGCTCTGGCCCACTGTCCCGTGGCCAAAAATCACAAATGCCAACATCCCGGAAACTGCAAAACCGCTTTTAAGACTCGCTAGCTAAAAGAAGCATCAGGAGTTACCCGGGCAGACCTAACAGCTGCCGAAATCAGGGAACAGAGTGAAGAATGAAACCGTACAGCTTTGTTTTTACACCGAACCCGAATGATGCAATATCTAAGGCTCCAGTCTTCACCACGCGCTGCCGCTCTCTGCTGGCTCGGGTATGGGATGGGCGGGGGCAAGAACCAGCAACTGGCATAACGGAGGGCACTCACACAAGCCATGATGCCTTGAGACAATGTAAACGCCACCAACCGAAGTTTAACCTCGGAACCATCGTCCTTCAGCGTTCGGAAGCAGCATCATGTCGCAATCTTCTTCTTCGCTATCACAACATCGTAGTCGTCATCGTCATGACTCATCATCATCACCGCCCGCATCAGCAGCCGCAATAGCACAGCATCGTAGTCATGAGCATCTCCATACGCAAATCGGTGTCGCGATCACCATTATCCATGCCACCCAGCACCGCCGACGGCAGTCGATATCGCCAGCATCATCAATCAATGCCCGTCACTGCCAGCACCACTGCCAGCACCACCGCCACTTCCATCAACATCAACATCATTATCATCATCATCATCATCATCATCATCGACGTCGTCGTCATCATCGTCATCACCGTTATCACCGTCTGCATGATGCGAGTGCCCTCATATCTTCGCCGTAATGTCGTCGTCTGTTCCGAGATCATGCTCTTTCTTTGTCTTCACCTTCGCCTTCATCTCTATGCACATTTCCCCCTCTCAAGCTGAGCATTACCTTGCTTATATCTCGACCAGTTTAGTGTACTCAACCTATTAGGCAAAGTGGCGATGTGAATGCTCTTCCGCCGCCTCTCTGCAATTACCCCAGCGTTGTGAGAACCGCAGACGTCAAGCCGAGAGAGACGAGCATCACCTGGTGAAGCAGCGTTTTTCTGCCCAAGCCCCTCACGGCTTCAGCGCAACCCCCAAGATGCTGACCTTGTCCATGAAATAGACACCACACCCGAGAAAACCACACCCACCCAAAAGGAAACACCACACCCACACCCGTAGTCAAAAGAAAGGAGACCAAGCATGTAACAGAATGCAGCAACCAAGAGTGACTGCCGTAACAACCGAATCGACCATGCATATGATAAGCAGAGGCAGCATGCAGCATGTAATGACCAGAACAAGCTGCAAGAGAAACGAAGATAGAAATGAGGGTCTGCAGCGGTATGATAAGCACAATGACGAGGAAACTGAGAGACAAAACGAAGGGAACATCATACGCAGCACGGAGATGCAAATGAAGACCAACACAAATGATAAGCAAAACGAAGAGAAAACTATACTGTAAGCAGAACCAAGTTGAAATGAAGATACAAAAAAGGACGGAGATGTCAACGATAAGCGCGAAATCCTGATGAAATGAACAAATAATTCACATCGCCACTGTCTGTCCATCAAAGACTCTCGTTGTTCAGTTTTGGGCTTTTGTTGGTGTTGGTGATTTGGGGTTTTCAAATTGTACAGTATGTGGGGGTTGGGCCATTGCATGAAAGCCACATTCGTGGCGGTGTCTGCCCACGAGAGACTGCCCGAATTCAATATCCTTGGCTGCAAGCAATGTAGTTGTGGCCCACGCAAACGTGCATTCTGCAAGCCAAGAAATGGGAGTCTCCCCAAAGATAGGGGACCCTAATCTAGTACCCTAACTAGTAGGATCCTTATTATAAGGACCCCCAAAAATGAGGTGCCCCTAATTATCGGAAATTCCCCAAATTGAAATCCTGCAGACCCGTGAGGCGAGTGTCCAGTGAGAAAGTCCCGGCAAGAGCAAGGCCACATAGGCGAAGAAGTATCCGCCAATGTAACCTCAACGACTTAATAATTAGAATAGGGTTCCTTTAAGGGCTTCTTTAAAGGGGTCTATAAGGGCTACTATAAGGGCGATTATAAGGACATTACCTCACTTACCTTTGCTTAGTAGGGAATGGAAGAATGGTAGTTATAGTAATACAGTAGCCGCCGGAAAGTTGGAAGGCGGCAATTGGAACGGTTGATGCGGCAACGGCATCTTCCAACTTTGGGTTTGACTTGGTCCCATCTTCCAACTTTAGGTCCCGGCGTCTGGACCGGTTGATGCGGTAACAGTATCTTCCAACTTTCGGTTTGTGGGATTCAGCTCCAGTAATGCACAGAGAGGAACCGCAATTACTTCGACCGCTCCAATAGTGCTGAGAGAGGGAAACGGCAATTACTACGACCACTCCAACAATGCAGAGAGGGAGAGAGAAAGAGAGAGAGAGAGAGAAACTGCAAGTACTACGACCGCTCCAGTATTGCAGAAAGAGAGAATCTGCAATTACTACGACCGCTCCAATATTTCAGAAAGAGAGAGAGAGAGAGAGAGAGAGAGAGAGAGAAACTGCAAGTATTACGACCACTGCAGTATTGCAGAGAGAGAAAGCTGCAAACACTACGACCGCTCCAGTATTGCACAGAGAGGAAAAATTGCAAATACTGCGACCACACCAATATTGCAGAGAGAAAACTGCAATTCCTAGGACCGCTCCAGTGTTACTCAATTACTACGACCGCTCAATATTGCAGAAAGAGAGATGCTGCAAATACAATGGCCGCTCCAATATTGCAGAGGTAGAAAAACTGCAGTTACTCCAGTATTGTAGAGAGAGAGACGGAGAAACTGCAATCAAATATTGGGTCTGCTTGGTCCCATCTTCCAACTTTAGGTCCCGGCATTTGGAGCGGTTCATGCGGTAATCAATAGTTGGAAGGTTGCAAACTTGGAAGAATCCAAAGTTGGAAGATGTGTTCTATTCCAATTGCGGGGTGCTGAAATTTTGGGTGCGCATCTTCCAACTTTGCGGCTGCCACCATAATAGTAATTATATTTGTACCCCATTCCTAAATTCCCTGCTAACCAAAGGTAAGCTCAACGACATTGGGTGTGGGGTCTGATAACTGATTTCAGGTGGCGCAGGGGGGGCATTCAAAGGGGCTTCGTCTGACATGCTTCCGGTGATCACGATAGAGCCTGGATCCAAACACGCAATACTAGGCCCCGAAGGCATGCTTGAACTTGATCCTCACCTACAGCTTGCAGGGTGGATGCTTGCGTGTTTGTGTGGCAGCTTCTTTGGGGTCGAGACGCATTCACGGCAGTCTTGGCTTCTGCTTGCAGCTTGTCAGCATCTATGCAGGAACGGTAACATGCATGTCTTTTCTGCACGTGTAAGAACATCAAGTATCACGCATGCATGCATGCATGCATGTATGATACATACGCTGTGAATACACAAAGAGACACCCCTCAAGGTGCGTGTAGGAGGGCGAGGGCCCGGACACACAAGCTACATAATATATATATATATATATATACACACATATACATATATACATATTTATTTATTTATGTATATATATACACACACACGTCCCCCTGTCAAGGCCCGGACTGAGGACTTGGTTCACGGAAGGTACGGCGGCAGCGACCAGGATTGCGCTGCCTATAAGCGACCTCGGGTCGATACAGGCCAGGATTAGGGTTCAGGGCAAAACCATGGCAAAATGATGGATGCGTACATCGGAGAGAGTTGGAAGTGAGATTAACATTTAAGCAACATGGACTATATAAGTCTTTGAATCTTCACCCACCACCATGCCGAATCAAGGGGAGATCCCAGCTGCCACCGCATCGCCGCAGAGAGGAGCCAGGCGAAACAAGGGTTCGGTGTCGAAGAACCGGGCTTCAGCAGCTCTGCCTAAAGGTGTAAGGGCTCAGGGTTTGGAGTTGGGAGTTTCCGAAAATAGGGGTACCTTATTTTGTGGTCCTTTTAACAAGGGTCCTACCCTACTATTTAGGGTACTATATTAGAGTCCCCCATCTTCGGAAACTCACATTTAGGGTTCAGGGGTTAATGGGCTCAGCTTGAGGAGTCTGGAAAGGCTAGGACTTGGGGCCCAGATTTTTCCGACGAGCAGCAGGGGTAGCAATAAATCGCTTCCCCGTTCAATAAACACACAACCGAATAATATAACACTTTCCGGACAATCCACCTGCAAACCTACATTGGAGGGGTTTCAAGAGCAAAAGCAGCAGCTAGAGCGGAGCAAGAGCCACGGCAATACGACCAGGAGCAAGAGCGAGATCAGAGACAAGAGCCAGGAGGAAGGGATTGGTGGTTATAGCGATGGTGAGTCGCAGTGATGGTGATGGTGACAGTGGTAGTCGGGAGTGGTGGTGCGATAGGGGCAGTGACGATGGCAGAGTGGTGATGGTGGCGGCGGTGGTGGTGGTGGTGGGGTGGCAGTGTGGGTGGTTTTTGTGGGCGGTGGTGGGTCCTCGTCGCTGTGGCAGTACGACTGATCTGCAGCTGCAGCCGTACGGAGTTACGGATCGAGGTAGCAATAAGAACACGGCTTTAAGCTTTGGGGTAGTGTATTGCACTAGCAACATGTGGGGATCATAAAATTGTTGAAAAGCACACCCCAAGCGAACACTACGCCTTGTCGCTGTCCTCCGAGTTGTCGTCATCACTTGTGCCTCGGATCGATTCTGCGCGCAGTTCCAGGCAAGAAGAACAGACAACAATAAAAAGAGACGTGCAGGGAAATCGATCCCATGTGGCCAGGGCCAGTCCATCGCGAGCCGCGAGACACGAAGTGAAACACTAGACATGTTGGAAGATCCCCCAACATGCTTTGGGCTCGCAATCTGAGTAGCAAGGCGCTGAGATTCGACAAATCCGGGCCCTCGTGGCTCTGCTCTAACCAACCTCGCAGAGTTGTCTCACCCACCATGAAGAGTGGATACCTGGGCCAAGCACTGATGAGCTTCCGCGAAAAGGTGGGAAAGCGACTCCTTTAGCTGATGCTCCCCTACCTATAGTCTTCATTGTCGTTCCTTTTTTGACCCTAGTTACATACTGTATATGGTTAAACAGTTAAACCAAACAAAGGAACTACAATGGAGACTATAGGTACACCACGCCCGCCACAAAAACGGGACGGACCTCGACTCGATGCCGGGCAACCCAAGAGCGAAGCATCCCAAACAGAAGCGCCCAATGAAGGACTGCTGTGACTGCAGTTCAGCTCCACAGGCCCTTCCTTCCTGAAAAACCCTCCGCATGGCTGTGAGCCACATGAATCGCCCCCCATGTCAAGCCACAGGACCCCAAGATGACAGGAGCCATCACCGCCCGGGCAAAGAGTCCACCGGCACCCTTCGTCCAAGATGCATCTGAACCTGGAAGTTGATCATCTGCACGATACACACCGTCACTTTGCAAAGCTGAACCTCAGGAACGTTCGAAGCTCTGCTGCTCGCGGAGGGTCAACAGTTCGGGTGCGACTATAAAGTGTATCGGGCGGCTCTCTTCAGGATAGTCTTCGCATGATCATGCTGTGAACATGTCTACACTACTGCTGCACAGTGGGATATGCAAAAGGTGTCGAGCTCGAAACATCTGTTGAGTAGTGCGGAAATACCTGCAGCGTAGCTCGCCCACAGCTCAGCACTCCTAGAAATAAACCCGAGTCTAGGTGCCAGACCTCCACCTCTTCATCAGCTTAGGTTGTTTATGGGCTGCATTTGGCAAATCAACCACATGAATGAAAGCAGGCAGCTCTGGCAACAAGAATAAAAGCTTTTGACTCAATGAAGGGCAAAGCAATAGCTCTACACATTTATGCACGAAACATGTCTTGGTCGGGCATTTTCCTCTGAAGCAATGTAGGTGCACAAGGTCTCAAAGATTAAAGCACCTCGCTGCTGGCTCCGGCTTCCGGAGCTGAGGCACTTTGCTCTGCCAGTCAACTACGAGTACTGTCTGTGAAAAACTTACCCAGCTTTTCCACCCATTTGGGTCCGTTTTGAATCGTACTTTTAGTCGTTTTGACTGCCGTGCATACCTTGTCCAAACCTTTCACGGCTTCTGCCGTCTGCTTGGCAACTTTCGCGGCTTTCGCGGCCTTGGCAAGCTGTGCACCTTCTGCCCTGCCCTGACCGCCTTTGCTGCTGCAGTTGCTGCCTGCCCTGCGGCTCTTGCGCTGGATGCCGTGCCTGCAGTGGCGATGTCGGTGGCCAGGCACACCGCCCCGGAGACTGCTGCCATTGCATTGCCGGTGTAAATGCCAGCAGCAATTTCAACAGTTGGCCCAACAATTGGAATGAAGCCGGAGACAAGCTGGACCACGCCAATCATAGCGGCAAGCAAGCAAGGAAGGCAGTATCTTCCAAAGCCGGGCTTCTACAATCCTGATCAGCCAAGCGGATCTGCGGGACATACTCACACATTTCACCTCTTACTCAACACAACAGCATTCTGGCAGCCAGTCACACCATGCAGCAAAGGTCCATCCATCACTCAACTACCCTGGTTTGAAAGTGCAGCACCGTGCTCGTTCGTCAATGGTATTTCGCTTGGACGTGAGGGTAGGTATAGGGCAGAGTGCTAAGTTGAGATAACTAGGGCGGAGGGCGGTGCCATCGACCCACATAGGCAAGGCATCATCTAGCTGGGCAGCATCGAGGGAGTGCGCGGGGAAGCTCTCGTAGATGATTTCGGAAACATCCTCGCCATAAACGCCGAAGCCGAAGCATCCTCACAGGGAGCTCTAGGACGCGAGCTGGCTATCGGCTGACACGCCACGCAGGCCTATGAAGGCAAACAGCACCAGGGCGAAAGCGTGGCTGATGATCACGACCCTGCCAGGCCAGATGCTATTGCACACTGCCATCGACAGCTACTGGTTCTAAACACTTCACATTAAAAGCAGTGTCAGAGCGTTTGAGAGTGAGCAGACTGTAGATTCATCCATGACTGCTGCAGCACGGCTGGCAGTATTGCCCTGAGACTCTTGCACCAAACTCCTGAAGGCGGATGCAGTGACAATGCTGCACGAAAGTGACAGTGAAGGTCTACCCCTAACCCGGGCCCTAAACTATATTGTTTTCAGAATCCCGATCCGGCAAACTCCCAAATGCTGAGTTTTGGGGTTCACATGAAACCATGAAGGCAAAGGATGGTTGCTTGTATGGACGGATCAAATCGATTTCTTGTCATGATGATTCGTCTGCACGCGTTGATAGCTAGTGCTAGTGCTGCAATGCTGCCCCTGTCAATCATAACATATCTGCTATGCAAGTCGGAAAGATAGACCTCGGCATTGATCTAATGCTTGTGCGACTACCGCTTGTGGCTTATCGCGCGGCGCCTCTTGAACGGAGCAGGATCGTCCACTTTCATGTCCGCAAAGGCGTATTGCGACACCACAACCTGGGGTGATGACTGTCCTTCCGATTGCTCTGTGCTATTTGCGAGACAGCTCTGAAGTACTTTGCAATAAAATATCGCTTCCAGCTAAAGGCCACTCGTACTGATCACTATCACTTTTGGTCTCGGGACTACTGTGATTCCTACGTGCGTTGCATGTACTGTTCTGGCAGAATAAAGCTGCTGTTACATGACATGGGTTAAGGGATCGCCAGCTTGCAGTAAGCACTGCGATGGTCTGAGGTACAGTCATTGCAGACAGGATGTCGGTTTTCTTTCTGGCTATGACTTCGAGCTTGGGCATGGATGTCACACACACTCTCCAGCTATGGTGAGACTTCTGAAACGAACAAATCCAACTTTGAAGGGCCATCGCCGAAATTTTGACGGCATGCAGCGCTGTAGGGAACACCCTTGGTTTTGGCGCTTCTAGCTTCTGCTCGCACCATCCACAACAGGTTCCATATATCGGCTACTGTTCTTTGCGTCGTTGTTCCCGTGGGTGCTATGTGCTGTTTCAATTGTGGCGGTGGCGCTGCCGCATTGCCTCTACATGCCTCTACTGTTGACTACTACCAAAGAAGAAACCTTCGGGGATGACCTTTCGGATGCGGTGTGATACAAGTGAAACAGCCTTCAAACGAGCTACTGTTGTCAAAAACTTGACTACAGCACTCGCAATAGCACAAGCTAGACCCTAAACCCTGAAATTCGGCCCTAATCTAGGGGCCTTAATAATTAGAAGAGGGCTTTGGGGCCCTTTTATACCATAATTATAATAAGGAACCCTCATAATCGTGTTGATAATATTTAGACCCCTATAGTATTTTCCCTGGCATTGCTGCCACTTTACCTCCACCGCCATCGTTATTGGTATCCTCGTCATTGCTTGCCGATGTCGAAAAACTTTCTGTACAGTCTACGGTCGACCGTATACGGGCGATGATTTCACGACCAGAGTAAACCGGTATGCAAGGGAAACTCGAAGTTCCCTTCCCCATCCACAAGTTGTGGTTGGATGCAAGCACAGGAGTCTTGCATAAATATATGTGTGCATATGTGCATGTGTGCGTATGCATATACATATACACACATATATTTATGTGTATATATATATATATATGTATCTACCAGTATGACTCAGTATGACCTACATATACTTGGTACCCCACCGACGGATCTACCGATTTGCTTTCCGGCAGCATCTTGGGGAAGCCTTTTGGCGATCAAAGAGGGTCAGAGAAGGTTGAACAGTATGAGACAGACCCTGGATCACAACGCATTGGTCTTCCAACTCTCCAATGCACTCACGTGCTACTTCCGCTCTCATACATGCGTGGCGGATGGTTTGGGCTTCACGAAACAAGAAAACAGTAGATCCATGAAAGGAAGGATTGCGCCCCGGCGGGCCCCCGCCCCTGCCACCCTCCCTCCCCCAAAAGTATCCCTCCATTTGGTAATTCACCGTTTTTCCTGTGGAACGGCTTGGGCCTTGAGCGTGTGGAATGGTTGGGTGATTTGGTTCGTGTGATCATCCCCCCCTCCCCCCTGTGGAACAGCTGGGGTCTTGAGCTTCGGAGTTTAGTCTCCCCCGTCTCTCTCTGGAACAAGGGCCCTCTGCGCAGGTGCAACAGGCCCGTGTATTTGGGGAGGATCCCATTTGGACGCAGAACGCACAGTGCACAACCATAAATAGAAATTGTATATGTATGTGTGTATATATATATGTATATATATATTAATCAAAATATACATTCAGACATATATATATATATATGTATACATTCATACATACACATCTATGAATGCTGACGTTGGGAGCTTTGTTCAACAACAGTTCCATACAGGTCATCCGAGCTGCGCCTTCGAAAGCGGAGATGGTAGGTCCCAGAAAAGCGCCCAAGCCTCAAACCCCCAAAGCATGATGTTGAGGCGCTTTCCGGTTCGATGCAGAAAGGTAGCTGCCTGGGTGACAACGGCTGAGAGGCCGTATCAGCAAACCCATCAGAACCCTGAAAATACCTTTATGCAGATGCATTTGCGGGACTTGCCCTCAAAGAACGAGATCAGGGAAGGAGTGTGATGGCTTTCGGCCAGCTCGTAGCAGAAGCAGCGGCAGGACGGAACGGAGACTAGCAGTAGCAGCAGTCGTCTTGGTCGTCGTCGCAGTATTCGTCGACTGTTACTCTTTAGGCACCCTCGTGCTCTTGGCTGCTCGGCTTCTACAGCTAACATCAGCTAGCTGGTGCGACTACCAGCACCACCACCCAAATAAGAACTACCTTGAGACGACTTGTAGCTGCCAATGCTGCTGCTAGTGCTACTCTTGCTGCTGCTGCTGCTGCTGCTGCTGCTCCTCGCCCCTTCCATGGCACCTGAAGTGGTACCACCAGACATGGGCATCGAAATATCACAGCTTGGCAAGACAGGAACCCTAAATTGTCCGGAGCTCATATCTATCCAGCTATTTGCGTATTTGTTGGTAATGTTGTGAAAGTGTTCGATGAGAACAATCTTCTAAACCCTGACAATGCAAAACCTCAAGGTTCGGGGTCCTTGCGTCGTCCCTGGGAAACTACACGGACAAGGGCCGGGGGCGGTCCTTCGAATCGCAGGGGAAACCACGAATCCTCGAAGCTGTCCCGGCCAGCGCTAATCTCGACCTTCGCGTCACTGGTCTAGCTGCAACTGAATGGATGAGCCTTGTTAAGGGGCTCTTCTAGCATAAGGATCCTACTACGCGTTGCTTGGTGGTCGTGCTTATGCGAATGTGTTGTATTCGTGTTGCATGTCGCTACATGTACTACAGTCTATTCCTATTCCTTTCTGGACTGGTGTCGTTGTCGCTGACTGCTGTCAAGCTCTCTGTTGACATCATGCAAACAATTTCATCATGCAAACAATTGTTATCGTGATTGCCATGATCGAGCCGTGATAACAATGACGATCAATCTGTGCTGATAACAATTTAAATGCTGATTATGACGATGATGACACCTTGATGCTCCTGTGTGTATGCTGGCTTCCGAACGGTGAAAGTGTTACTGCTTGGCCTGCATACAGTTTCACAACTCTGATGCGCCTAAGATCGGCCGTGGCGGGAGGTTCTTACTTCATTGCCATGTTTATGCACCAAGCCTGCTGAGACTGACATATTGCGGAATCCCACTTCATGGCATTGTGATCTAGATTGGTCAGGGATTCAGGGATACCATTACACCGATCATTCTGCCTTCGTTTTCTATACTATCAGAACGTATGGTGGCCGTTTCTAAGTACCGCCATTCTGAACACGCACCAAATCCCAAGACAGCCCCGCAGGCTATCAGCCGAGAGCCCAGCAACACCAAAGTGAAGCAGGGCAACCGCGATGTACATGAAGGCCTCGTCAGCTCCGACGGCACAGGTTGCGGGCTTAACAATAACAAAAAATCCCTGCCCAGAACCCTACACGAAGTAGCAGGATCAAGGAGCCCGATAAACGAGCCCTTCCATGCGGAACCCCCTACTTATAACCCTACTTATAACTACCCATGAACCTCCAAGCATGCGGGGCTGAAGAGTGCCCTGCAGCTGAGCTTCGGCCAGAGCAACAATGGAGAGCCAGGCGAGGCCTTGCCTTCCGCAACAAGTTTGATGAATTACTATAGTTACTATAGATTGCTATGATTACTATAAAGGTTTCAGGGCTTCGGAACAAGACTCGACAGGACTGCTTCATGCTGACAACATGAGTTGATGTAAGAGATTCAAGCAACACCGTGCGATGCCCAACAGGAGGCCTCTTTGCTTCTCTTCGGTTTGCTACCCAACTGTTTGCCGAGAGTCAGCTGCTTGATGAAGCTGAGGATTCCAGAGAGTCCAAACCTGCAGTCGAACATCCGATTTCCAAAGCAGCAATACCGTGACGAGGTTCAACCAAGATAAGCAGACAAGCTGATTGATCACGGGATCCGAAGAATCTCGACCCGAATAACCAAGCTCCCACAAGTTTCGACGGGCCACACCCACAGCTGAACCGTGAGCTTCGAAAGCCCTAGCATTTTCATCACAGTGGGCACGATGACGTCAGTGTAGGCCTGGGCGTCCGAGGTGGACTTGTTCCGTACCTGCTGCCTGTCGGGTTTGAGAGGTTAAGTTTACTGCACATAGGACTTACGTAAGATCCAATGTCAAGATTTCAGGTTCTACATCTTCTCCGGCAAAGACGCAACGGCAAGCCCGAACTGCGAGGCGAGAATGGCCACGTAGCAGAAACGGATACCCTTCCACCCGAAGACCTGAGCATGCAGCTTGGGGACGTCAAGCTTCCCAGATTCCCACTGGGTCCCCATGAGGCAACCATATTAATGCCGCTGCGTGAGGAAGGCTATGCACGTTCGCAAGCAAAACCTATTACGATTGTCTGTTCATGCCGCTGGCCGTCATAGAATCAGTACTTGCCAACAGTGACAGCAACATCCACCATGGTGGCGATTGCACTGCTGCTGCCTTTGACAATGATGGTGACAGTATCCATTATATGGCAATACTTGACAACCCAGAGGAGGAGAGTGCCTACAGTCCCTAAACCCCTTGAACACCCAAAACCATCAAATCCCAAACCCCTAAACCGTAAAGCCGAAACCCCTACCCAGCCGCTCGAGCCTCCTGGGAAATGTCTCCCAGAGGGCCGAGCCCGTGATCCTCCACCTGGGGGCTGAGGGTTAGGGTTTAGGGCTTGAGGGGTTTAGGGTTTGTGAAACTAGGTAATGCATACATGGTCCTTGTTAACAATTAGCACATGCTACACAAGGACTTTTCAATTTTTGGAATATTAGTAACAGTCATGCCGAGCTCTAGATTTCGTGTGGCATCGAACCCTGGATCCCAACAGCCTCCACATGATCGGCAGAGGCTACGGCTACAGCTGCGCACGCCAGAGCCGTCGGAAGTACTATGAAAACACGAGCGATCACAAGACAACAAAAAGGACTGAACATTTGCAATGGCACTCAGTAGACAGCAAATGGGATTGATAAGAACAAGCATCACCTATCAATATTACCGCAAGATTACCGACTCTGATTTCCAATTTTGAAATTCGGCTAACCCAACCCGCCTCTCCTCCATCCTGCGAGTGACGGATCTGTACGTAGCACTGAGCCACTCGGTATGTGCCGGTACCTCAACTCAGGCTCACAGTCAGGGCCTAAGGTAAAAGCCAGAAAGTTGGAATATGATTATCCTAACCCTTCTATGGTAAATTATAGGGTATCCTACCATGAAACCATATTCCAACTTTCAGTTAGGGACCCCCTTGCCCCTTTTGGGCAATAATGCCACCGCCAACCAATTAGATTATCATTTTTAGGAATTCCTAGGGTCCCCCCTACATTTCACCGATATATCACGACTACTACCCCATTATCAATACAATTTTAGGAATTCCTAGGGTCCCCCCTACATTTCACCGATATATCACGACTACTACCCCATTATCAATACAATTTTAGGAATAACCATTACCCCATCTATTACCTCTAAGGTGGCATTATTACTCAAAAGGGGCGAAGGGGTTCTCGTAGAATTTGGTTCAGGGTTTAGGGTTAAGGGTTGTAACTACACTGTAATTATAATATATAACAGCTTATGTATTATAATTACACTATAACTATGCTGGTTAGGCTGTTTAATCCATTAAGACAAACTCAGGTTTATTCATAAGAGTTCCAACAATTTTATTAAAGTCCCTAATAAAAACGTCTGGATTAAAACCAAAATCGTTTATCTTACTACGAATATCAATATTTTTAATATCCATCCAGTCCTCATATATCCATTTGAACACTGTATATCTTTTTGTTGACAATTTCTTGAACAGATTATTTTTAACCCTGTCATAAATGGGAAAGTCATGTTTAGTTGAGAAAATAAGTCTATCTACATCATATACATGTAGTATATTACGTCTGATAATTCCCTCTATCCTCTCCTTCTTGAACTGGCGTTTTTGACAACTACGGCAACAATAAACAAAGCCGTAAATATTATTAATAATATTTTCTGGTAGTGACAATTCATACAGAGTGGAATAACGTTCGTGTTTCTTACAATCTTTACATTTACAATTCCGTCGCTCTTCCTTGAGTTCCCTGAGGTAATCGTGAACCTTGACACCATCCAAGAAGTTATTTGTTATTTCATCCTGTTCTGTTTGATTGAACATTTCCCTGATAATATATAAGTTGTTATTTCTTTAGGTCATTTTTCCTCAGAAATATTATTTTCTTAAGATTTACTGCATCGCGGTTTCTTTGACAGATTTATCCAAGCATTCAGAACAAGTCGCAACGTATTTAACATAACAATAAGAATGCTTACCAACGCAATAGCAACGCTTAAAACAATCAATGTCTTTTACTTGTTTACAACGATAACACTTCCTAGTAACAACATTATTTGTTTCAGTATATGGTTCAAAATTAACTAATATCTTATCTACTCTTACTGGCATTGCTAATATTATATGTTAGAATATTGTTATAAATACAACTATTTATAACAAGATTTAACGAAACTAATTACGAATTAATGTCATTACCAAACTCTTATGGTTTGCCTATGAACCTGTAGAACTTGCTAGGCACACGGGGGCATTGGCTCACTTCCTTCTTCTGTTTTCATTGGGGGCTTTTTATGCCAAGATGGCCTGTCATTATACACGAGATTTTAATCCATAATATTTAAATTATTCTTCAAAATATTTACATCTTTGTCTATCCTTTCAACATCCTCCTCCACTTTTTCTAACCTCTCTTCTGGTGTAGGCTTTCGTGATCCCCACCCGGTGGTCGCAGTATCAACACCTTCATTATCTTGTGGGCTTGTTTTAAATATGTCGTTTTCATCGGGTGTTATTCCTCTCCCCATCTTCCAACAACTCCTATCTTCAATTATTGTTTTACCTTCATTGTTTATCTTAGTTTCTTTGTGAAAAGTCTTTCTTCTGCACTTGCAGGGCAAACAGTTTAACCCATCCGTATTCAAGTGGAAGCCACCTTCATTAGGTTCACTGTGACTGTCACTCATTAACTTTTCTTAGATTTTTTTAAATACTGAAGAACTGCCTTAAGCAATTCTAAAGAAGCGGTGCAACACCTTTTAAGCTTGGTATCTTGTATTACAACTTTCTCAAATTCTTCAATCTCCTCTATCGTTTCTATGTAATTCTCCATTATATTAAATCATATATAATTTTCTCTGCTTAAATAATGGATATACCAATAGTCAAACCATACAAAACAAAAGAATACACTTGTGCTCAAAGTAAATACGATGTAGCACCTCGCATACCGTTTTCAATGGTTATAACTGGTCAATCAGGTTCTGGTAAAACAGTGCTTCTTTCAAATCTAATTCTTGATATTTACAGAAATTGTTTCAGTCGTATATATATTTGGTCCAGTTCAGTGTTTTTGGATCCAGTTTGGGGACCAGTCAAGAAATTCATTGAGAATGATCTTGGTGTGAATTCAGAAAAAGAAAAAGTATATTTTGATACATTCAATATTGATGAGATGCAAAAAGTTTTAGATCTACAAAACAAGGTTAATCAATATCAGAAGAAAAACGGAGCAAATAAATTATTTTCGGTGCTATTTCTGATTGATGATTTCATTGACCAAGCGTCATTCGCAAAACATAACAACTTGCTTAACGCATTGTATATTAAAGCCCGACATTTCAATGTGTCAATAATTTCTAGCAGTCAGAAATATAACGGGCTAAGCACGACGATTAGAACCAATTCAAGACAGTTAATATTTTTCAAGTTGCGTAATTATAAAGAAGTCGAGAGCGTTTTAGATGAATTGGCAGGTGTTCTAATTAGTAAAAAAGCAATGTCTGATATGAAGAGTCTACATCAAGCAAAACAACTATTATTGGAAATATACAATATTGCAACGGAAGATCCTTTTAGTTTTTTATTCGTTAATCTAATGCAACCAGACATAAATAAAATGTTTATGGTGAGATTTGAGAAGTATATACAAATTGATGATACTTAATAATATGTTATTAATATTATTAATCATTAAAACAATGATACTGGGCAACAATGTAAAGTAGTAAAACTAAAGCATGGGCATTTTCTTTTCTTCTTTAGTGCCTCCACTTTCTTTTCTTCCTCGTCTAATTTATTTAACAGATCTTTCATCGCCTTTAAGAGTATATCGGTTTCCGAAATGTCTTTGCTTTTTTGTTTAAGTAGTTCCATACAGGTGGCATACTCAGAGTGAAAATCGCTCATATACATTAGTTTATATTAAATTAATCGCTATCATTTTTCATCTTCTTTTTCAACTTTGTTAATTCGCCTTTCAAAGACGTTATTTCTTTTTGCATTTCTTGCACAGCTCCCCACAAGATAACTGTCATTTTATTGTATGCTAAGAGTTTCATACCATCATCATTATAAAAGATTATGTTGTCCCATTCAGGGGGCAGTTTAGCATTTTTCACATCGTCGGCTATAAATCCTAGGTTACTCTTTTTGTCTTCGTCCTTAACAAAAGTAAATGTTTTCGGTTTAACGTATTTAACTACACTATATCAGTCTTTGGTATTCACTTCTTTAATGTTCTCTTTTAATTTAAAATCTGATGTTTCTATCAAGGCGGTGCATGTTAAAGTTCCGTTAATATCTGCGTTATTGGTTGTAGTAAAGAAACCGTAAACATCAACGCCTGTATTTGTAGCATCTAATCTTGATAAATTATTATTGCTTAATCTAATAAATCCATCAGTATCTGGATTATTTATTAATACTCGTTGCGACCCTGATACATCAGTGTGTGTTATCTCCAAATTACCTAATAAATTCACCTTTCCATCGGTTAATTGAATTTCTGGCGTTGATGATTCTAACCCCATTGTTAAATTCATTTCTCCCGCCGTGTCTCCATTTCTGATATATAACTTATATTGAGTGTCTAAAACTTCTTTTAATTCGCTACTATTTTGAAACATAAAGCGCCCCCAACTAATAACATCGCTTTCACCAACAATATTACCAATACTATTAAATGTTTGATTATTTGTAACTGCTCTATTAATCGTAATTCCGTTAGTGTCATTTAATTGTAATGCTATTGTTCCTGTTGTAGGGTCGGTTGCTCTATTTGATTGTAATGAAAAATTAATTTCGTTAGTTGATATTACGTTTAATGAATTATTAGCATCTGCTCTTTGAAATATTCTCCCTGAATTATTAACATAAATATCACTATTAAATGTTGATATATTTTGAAATGATGATGTGCCACCGAAGTTACTATTACCACCAGCTACATTTAACTTGTTTGATCCTTGGATTACTCCAATACCTAAACTTAAGCAATAAACACCATTGCCGTTTGTTGTATTCAATAAAAGTAAAGAAGAACTGTCATTACTCGTGTTATATGCATTAATATTAAATGAATTAAATCTTATATAACCTTGAGAATTTTTTACCGTTAAAACATTACTGGCGTCTGTTGTATTCTTATAAAGTGTAAGTCCTGAATTATTGGAAATATTAGAAGTGTCGTTTTCATAATTTACAGTGTCTTTAAAATATGTTGGGTTGAACAACGTTGTCCCTCCTGTTGTATTGTTACATTCAATATAGGTATTAGTGTCTGTATCCATGGATGCTCCTAACATTAATCTCATTGCCTCTTGGTCTGTTCTCAAATCCATTGATATATTTGATTTAGTAGCGTTATTGTATCTTTCTATGCTTGTGTTACCATCAGTTAATTCAATACTACCACCAATATTAATATTATTAGTTAGACTAATTCCGTCTGCTGTTAAATTAGTTAATGATAAATCATTAGTAATGTTAACATTTCCCGACGGGTTTAATTCTAAATCTACAACACTGTCATCAGATGTAGCATTTGACACAATTTTATTTCCTTGTAAAGTTATATAATGAGTAGCGTTTTTAAACACACTTACTACTTTATCTCCTCCTCCTGTTTGATTACTAAATAATAGTCCAGTAGTCGGTGATATATTTATTGTTTCATTATTCAATGTTAAGCCCGTGTGAATAATAGTTGGGGCGCTACAATCAATAACTGGGTTTGTTTTAAAGCGGTCAGTAAAGTCACTTAACGGAACTCTTAACGCCA